GTTAGGTTTGATGCTGTAGATCGTCCTTTCATAAAGCCATGTTGGTTGGGCGAGATGCGATCACGAACAGTTTCAAGCAAATTTACGTTGACGAGGTGCTCGAAGAATTTAGCGATTGTTGGTAATTTTGCTATGCACCTGTAGTTTTCAATGTCCGTTGTTGTTTATCTTAAACTTGACCAGAGTTCCGTTTTTTAGTTCAACAGCCATCTCATAGACACAGCAAACGTTATCGAATGTTATTTGTTGGACGTCAAACGTTGCACACGCGGTTTTGACAAGTTTGCGAACATTATATTTTTCGGCCAATGCTAAGACAGTCTTAATATCGTCAATTGGTAATTGCACTTCGCATTTGTAGAAAAACTGGAGAAAGGTTTCGAACCCTTTCGCGTCGGCATCTTTTATCATCACGTTTTTTTTTCTCTATGGCAATGAACCGAAAAACATTGTTTTGAAGACATCACTTTGAACGGCTAAAATTAGTTTATGTGCTGGCCTATCGTCAGCGTCATCAAAAACGAAAACAAAGTCGGCGAAGTCCATGTTGAGATGGAGTTTTTCAATTCCCGTTGTTGGCTCAATATTTTTCAATATAATCGACATTTGCAGTTTGTGTTGAAAAATGAAATTTCTGTTAATTTTTCTTTAGTTTTCGCTGGTGACTTGAAAGATGTTCGAGTGTCGACAGATGAAACTGAAATACGAACAAGTGAGAAATAGATGCACACTTGCGGTGATTTGGTTAGCCGGCATTAGTCGGTGATATTGTGTGCGCATTTTTCTCTCTCTCATTTTGTTCATACATTCGTAGACCTGAAATGAAATTGATAGACAAATACATATTGGTTGGTGTGCAAATTCTTTCGTACTTGTGTTAAGCATTCGAATGCACGTACACGTCAACATTGTTTGAGTTACATGCGGTGTCGCACACACTTCATTTGGCTTGACTGGTCCCGTTATTCATTTTTTTCGTACGTCTCACACTCGTACCATTTGAATCAGCCTCAACAGTTTCAATTTTGTAGGTGAAATACTACAGACGCTGTCAATTCATTTTGTTTATGAATTCATTATTGGTTGTCATTTTTTCTTTATTTCTTTCTTGTATTTTTTCAACTTATCGCTTTCTGGCAGTGCTTGTGTGTGGTAAACAATTGGCCAATGTACGATATACAGAATCGGACAAAATTACGATATACAGCACGGTTCGTTACATATTTTCATAAACGGAAGAAACGCACTAGCATTTGAAAACTTCAAGTATAGCTGCATCAAAATGCTGCATATGTTTCGCTCCACCGAACCGTTCTGCGGAAATTGGAGACGGTCAAACTTTCTTATCATATTAATATAATATGATATTTATTTAGATTTCTCCATAAAACAACGTTACAGTTTTTACATTGGTTTCATTAATAATTTTCTAATACATAATTTTTTAATTTATTCTCAAAAAATTTTATCGATTCAACTTGTCTAACTTCATTTGGAATGGCATTTTGGCTACATGCTTTAGTAGCATTAGTGACTGATATTGTGTTTGCTTTTCTCAAATTTCTATTGTGGATTTGCTGTCTTTATTCTATTCTATCAGTTAGGTATTTTGGAGCTAGGCTATTCACAATTTTATAAATAAATAATAATGTTCTAAAGATTATTTGTTGCTAAACATTTATAAATTTCAACGAATCAAATATATAATTAACATTAGTATCACGAAATACACCCAAAATTTGTCTCATACATTTAATTTGCAAGTTTTGAAGCCTATCAATATTAGACGCACTGGACAGAAATAGGATGGACGCACAATAAATGAAGTGTGGTTGAATGAGTGACTATTTTCCTTTTGTCATCTTCAATACATGTGAATATTCGTTTGTTTCTTAAATTCTTCAATTTCTTCTTTTTTACATGTAATTTCATTTCTAAATATTTTTCTTGATTCAAAGTAGTTTTGTTTACAGCGATTTTTTTTCAGATTTACAGAAATGAAAGAAAAAATAGTGGTGTTGTTCTTCGAATTATATTTATTTTTAGCACTACATGAAATTAGAACGCAAAGCGATGCAGAGCAAAGTTTAAATTTCGTTAAAATCAAAATAACTAATCCAACCCATCGAAAGATTATCGTAATTCAAATTTGGATTGCGATGAAACTGAATTTTAATCCCTTTTTTTTCCACAAATGGTTCACAGTTTGATCTGTAATAGCCTTCCGCACAGGTTGATTGAAGTTCCAAATGTATTTCGTACATGAATAGAGGCTTAATCAGAATTGGATGTGGTAATACTGTCACTAACTTATTCTAGCCATTCCAATATTCAGATGTCCCGCGATAAAGAACCCTTGGTGAATCGTCTGAGCGAAACTTGAAATCTTTGCTTTCGGTGATAATTATTTTTGCCTGGGTCGATTTTTTTGTTGGTACATATTCGGGTAAAATTGTTGTACGAAATCCTCCCAGTAAAAGGAGACAATTCGATGAAAATGAAGCGACTTCTGTTAATTGAACGTACTTTACTGGTTCTGGATTTGATGTCCTCCGAGAAAGTTCCAATTTTTTGTCCTCGTCCCATTTGAGATGCCGAGGAATTCGATTGAATATAGTCGGTTGATACTCCTTCGACGCTATTGAAAACATAACATCTTCATACTCTGTTGCGGTGAATAGACCTCTATGTAACATGCACCTTTTACAAAATTCATCCAATTGCATTGAGCCAAATCGTAGTAAATGTAAACAATCTCCCAGCTGATTTCGCAGGTTTTCCGGTTGCATTCCATCCAAATTGTTTTGCTTACATGTGTGTTTGGCCCATGACAAACATGCATCAAATACATCGACTTCCATGCAAGCTAGATCCAGCTTTAACAATCGCTTCAAAGCAACTCTATCACAACGCAAAAAAGCATCGGTGGCGAAAATATCCGTTGTTGATTTAGCAATTTTGTCCTCACAGAATTGGATCAGGTCTTCATTGCCGAGATTCACAGCCAATTGATATCCACAACACATATTATCCAGTGTCAGTTGGTCTTTGAGAGACGCGACACATTCATTGAAATATTCTAAAACATCATACTTATCGGCCAAACGAGCAACGGTCTCGATATGTTCCATAGTTAAAGTCACTTCACGAGGATAAAAGAGCTGAAGGAACTCTTTAAATGCACCAATGGATGCATCAACAATCTCAACATCTCCTTTTTCTGTCAACGATCCAAAAAACATAGTTCGAAATACGGGGCTGAGAATGGCCAGATTTGCTTTGTTTGCTGGAATCCTTTGAGTTTTGTCGTCAACGTTGAACTTAAAATGAACGTCGGCTAACTCTTCGTTGAGATACAATTTTGCAAACGCCTCAGAAGTAGCGCCATTATCCAACACGAACATTGTAACACTTGCAATTAAATCGAATAGAAATTATAAACGATTTTGTTTCTAGTTGTATAAAACAAATGTTAGTACTAATGACTTCTGATTGGTGGCTAAAGTTGCATAGGGAAGTTGGCAGATGCTACTCAGTAAAGCGTATGAGAGCCGCAATACAAATTTCAATGCGACGAAATGACGTATGTATGTATGTATGTGTAGGGACATGTATCGCACATATGTCATATAAATATATGTGCATATATGTGCATATATGTTCATAGAATGCAATACTAGACAAGCAAAAATTTTGGAACTAGATGGCACTTGAGATCTCGTTTAATATTATTATTTAAAAATCGTTTGGAAAATAACAATAAAATTGGTTCACATCGTTAACTTTGAAAATCTGTGATTTGAAGATTCTGAAAATATTCAACGTTTTCTGCTGGAAACAGTCTATAATTTGTGGATAAATAAACAAAAAATAGAAAGAAAAGCACACCGTTTTTTTCGTACGAATTTTTTTTTTAAACTGCATCTTTATTTTATACACTTTTACTGGTTCATTTCGATCCAATTGAGACCGTCTATTTGGTTGAGTGAATGAAATTTTGTCTTTTCTTCTGGTTTGTATTGTTCTGCATAGGGTTACTCTCTCCCTTTCTCTTTCTTCCTCTATGATAAATCATATGTCCTATCGATTCGTCTTTAGCTTGATATTTCATTCGATTCACCGATTTGAGGAAATAAAATGAATCCAAAATAAAGAAAATTAACAATCTATTGAATGTCTTTTCGTTAACCGATTCTTGGTCCATGTCTTCTATTTAATCAGGACCCTTTCGAATAACGTCTCCTCCGCGCAGTTCTCTTATTCTCTATTTCTATTGAATTCGTTGTTTAATCGAAATCTTCTAACGAACGTTTCGAAATCTATTTCGAGAGACATGCTAAAAGTACTACAGACGCTGTCAATTCATTTTGTTTATTGAATTCATTATTGGTTGTCATTTTTTTCTGTTTTTTCTTCTATTATTTTAGCATTTTTTTCAACTGATCGCTTTCTGGCAGTGCATTTATGTGGCTAACAGTTGACCAATGTACGATATACGTGTACTGAAAGTTGAAAAAAAAACGTTCCACTTGAATCTGCTTCCGTGTGCTCTTTCTGGAACAATACATTCGGCTATTCTAACGGAACAAGATTTTTTTTTTTCATTTGAAATTTGTACAGTATTTTATTGAGATAATTGCAATCAGTTTTGCCTAAAATCAAGCGATTTCATAATGAAATTTGGATGTGAATTTGAAATACACAGCAAGAATAAGAACAAAATTTTAAAATTATGCAAGTTGAAGCGTCTTTTTGCTTTAGAATTCGGTTTTAATGCTTCAGAATTCCATTTTAACTGTTCATTTTTTTTTTTCGCCAATTGCATTTCTCTATTTTGTGCATAAAAAGAGCTGTAAATGTGATAACACAGAGGATGAGTTTCATTTAATTCCATCGGACATCATTTTCATTTGATTCCATTATGTAAAACGAATATGGGAAAGGTAACGTACTTGGAGCGCTGTAAAATTTCTTTGCACTGAGCTAAGTATTGGTCTATAGACCATGTGTATACATTTTAGCCGACATTTTTCCTTCTAAAAATGTAAAATCTTCATAAAATGAACGAATAAGTGTGAAAAGAAACAAAAATGCCGCGAGCAAATGCAAAAAAAATACAAAACAAAACAAATATACGATATGAATTTGATAAATATTTTTTTTTTGTGTTTCATTTCATACATACATAAAAAAATTTGTTATTTCCAATTCCAATTTGTTTTACTGAATATTTTGTTTGTGTGTGTGTGTAGGTGTATAAGGTTGCATTTAAACAATTTAATGTCCTATATAATTTACGTAAATCGTTTTTTAAAAATAAATATTGAGTTTCACTTTCTAGAATTTTCGATTTTCTGTTGTTTTATTCCATTTTTTGTGTTCAATTCTTTAATTCTTATTTTTTTTTTTTTACATGGAGCTTCTCAATATTTTTCGTAACTCAAAGTAGTTTTGTTTAGAGAAAAGAAAAGATTTTTTTAGAAAAGAAAAGAAAATAACAGGGTAATAGCCATAAGGACGCACTCACAGAGAAACGATTCCATGCAAAAATGATGTGTGTTCGGTGTTTCATAGCTACGCGCTGTCCATCATCTATATTTATTTTGCTTCGGTTTAGATGCCGGCAATTTTTGTTTCTGAACTCTGGCGCGCACATATATCTATGAAATACACATTTACGGTGTCAAAACACCCTTGCCGTGCACCGAACACTCAGTTCAAATCGAAGCGATGCTGAATGATGCGCATTTTTCGTTTACTCCACCAAAGAAGACGGTCTACTTTGAGAATCTGTTCCTATTTGGGGAGCTCCTTGCACATGCACAACAAATAGATTGCTTTGAAATAATGCATTCTCTCTGTGGATTCATCGATAAACGTATTTAAATTCAGTTATGGAGGGGGCTTGAACAATGCGTTTTTATATTGAACGAATTTCATTATCATCAATAGGTTTTAGATACGCACACAGACTTTATCATTATTTTTACAATTTCTACGTATGAGCGCGGAAAATATTCGAAACGAAAAAGTGAATAAATTTCTTTGTGTTTTGTTTTAGTAAAACTCGTCACAGGGAAAGTTGTAATGTTTACATGAAATGGAAAACAGAAAAAGAAATCATTTGTCAAGCTGCCGCGTTAAGCCATTGGCAATCTATGTGCATGGCATGCATTCGATTCACATTCGTTTCGAATTAGAGATTTCGTGCGAGTGTTTTTTTTCTATTTTCTTCGACGTATGAACGTATAGATAAGCGTCTGGATTGAGAGAATTGTTTGAATTTGGCCTAATTCTTTAATTTTTAGTTAAATATCTAGTTGCTTTTGTTATAAATTGTTTTCTTCTTTCTAGGAAAAAAAAAAAATAAACAAACAATGTGTTTATCTGTGACGATGGATGTTTATTAAACTCTTTCGATTCGACTATTTTTTGTGTTATTGTAGTTGTTGTTGTTATTGAAGTCACAGTGCTGCTGCTGTTGCTGTTGAAATGATGTTGGTGGCGACAGTGGCCGATTCGCATCATTTTGATGTATTTTTTAGTTGGTGTCGGATGCGCCAAAGCATTGCATAATAGATTGATGTAGTTTTATTGAAAATATTGTTCATTCTTATTCGTTTTTGTTTTTATTTCACGCTTTTATCATCGATCCAAGGCATTGTGTACTTAGATGATTTGGATGGAAGTCTCTGCTGACGATGAAAGCTGAAGGAACAAGTCAATACGCGTTTGTGTGGGTATGTGTGTGTGCGCGCATAAAAATGTCGAAATATCGCGCATTTCGATGTAAATGGCCTATGTTTGATTTGTTGTCAAAAAGCTTGATTTTTGTTTGTTTGTTTGCTATTTAAATTTTCTAATTATCGACACAAGTGTGTGCGCCCCCCTTTCAACCTGATGACTTTTTATTTCGTTTAAAACGATAGATGTTGGTTGCTTTTTTGTTTTAAATGATTATTTTATATTCTTGTTGTTGTTGTTGATGTTGGTGTTGGGTTTAGCAGATAGTTTTGTTGCCGTTTTCGTTTGAATAGTTTAACGCACAACTTAATAATCGTCCAGGTCAAAGTCCTCATTGTCGATGTCATCCAGCTGCATACTTTGGAAATCTACCTTATAGCGTAAAACACCTGCAAAAATGGAAAGACAGCGATTAGATGAGATTCGATATTTTGATGGCAAAATTATTTTGAAAAAAAAAAAAACAATTTCAAACGATAATAAAATAGATTTTAATTCTAATGTCTTGACTTAATCAAGCTAGAAAAAAATACGGTGAAAATTACGAGAAAAAAAAAATTGAGAAATAAATTGTAAAGAAAATATGTTGAATTTTTTTTTTGAGAATAAATGGAATTTTTTTTCTTTTTGAGAACAAATGAAATTTGGTTGAATAAAAAGAAAAGAAAAAAATATTGAAAAAATGTGTAATTCAACCGTAGATTTATGCACAACGCAAAGTCTACAATAATAAAAAAAATACAACTAACTAATGAGATCAGATTAAGGGAACGAAAGAAAATGCTACGAAAAATATGCCAAATGTTGATGCTTCGTCAATTCAAACGATGCAGATTCAAGTCAAACCGAAATAAAAACAAAAATGAAAAAAATAAGAAAATAAACAGCTGATAGCCCAACAATCCAAATAAAAACATCGCTTTTTATTCGACCATTTTGAAGAAAAAAAAAATCGAAAAAAAGAAAAGCATGCAAAATGCCTTCATCATTCGATGAAAACACAAATTCAACTACGATTTAAAATCAAAATCAATTGGACCAAAATTGCACACAGTGACGAAAACTAAAAAAAAGGCCATTTTCAACGGTAAAACATAAAAATTCTACGGCAAGAGAAAAAAATGTGTTGATCGCATTTGTTTTTGTTTGAAATACCTTAAACGTACGATGGTAAGAGTTAGACTTGTCTGTGTTTGTTAGGGGTTTCTTTAATGTTAAGCATTGTTAGAACGAAAAGTGTTGGAGTGCCGTAGTACTAAATGTCCCTGGATTTGCTTTCATTCATTCAATTTCATCATTTATTTATGTTTTTGTCAATTTATCGCAATTAATTTGATTTAATTGTGTCTCATTCAATTACTTTCATATTTTTTTTTCAATTCAATAATAACGATACTGTCATTCGTTTTCCGGAATGTCATTATTTTCACAATAATCAATTTTCGAAGAAAATACGAGCAATTTGTTTTTCTGTTGTTGTCATTTTGAGTAATTTTCAATTTGATAAATTGAAATAATATCGTGTGTTGGCGGCGAAACCCGCAAGTAGTTTAGTTGAACTGCGTATGGTTTAGTCTTTCTTTAAGTGTCAAATTTTGCGAATTAAATTGTTAAATGCCAGTTCTAGTCGAGTCTTTCAATCGATTTATTTTCTCTTGGAATGTTTCATCGTGTTTTACGAAAAGTTTTACTATTTTTTTTTATATATACAAAATCGCACGAATTGTGTATTTGTGTTTGAGTGTTGTTGTTGTTATTGGTTTTTACTTGATTTTCTGCGTTTTCTACTAATTTCCATGCGGATTTTTCTTTTGGAATTTTACAATTCAAATTATTTGCTATATTTTATTTCACGGGCGCACACATTTACAAACATTTAGTTTTTTTTTTAATCATGACAATTAGCTGGATGAACTTATTTCTTTTCGTTTACTGTTTATTATATAATTTTTTGTATTTGGTTGTTGTTGTTGTTGTTGTTGTTGTTGTTGTTGAACATTTATACGGAAAACAGTATCTAGACTCTTTTTTTCAATTAATCTTTTGTGATTATGATAAATTCATTTATATCTTCATTTATTTATTGTTTTGTTACTTTCAAAATTATTAATTTGTAAAATGTGTTTTATTTTTGTTCATTCTCTTTTTTCTGGGGGGAGGGGAGAATTTTTTTGTGTGTTAACCAATTCGCGAATGATCAACGAATCCGATTAAGTGTTGGTTTTTCTTTCTTTTAGTTTTGGTCTATTTAAATGAAACTTATTTAGTAGTCGTCTAAATCAACGTCGTCCAAGAGCTCGTCAGCCTGTAGTGACTGAAAGTCAACTTTGTAGCGCAGTATGCCTGATTAAGATTCAATTTTACGCAATAATTTTTTTGGTAATTTTTTGTTAGTTTTTTTTTTTCAATTCAACCGGATTAAAAACAAACAAATGAATGAAAGACCAGTGAGATTAGTATGTAGATGCCGTACCATCAATCAGCCGAAGGCGAGAGCATGAGATGTACGAAAGAGAATATGAGAGATTAGTATTATGATAGTATGATTTCTGATACATTTTCCTTTCTTTAAACTCGTTCAACACTCAATAATCCATATATTTTCCATGTTTCCATCATGTGTGAGTTTAAAGAATGATCAGTTGGGTTTTTTCCCCTTCAAATTTCTTTTGCAAATGGTTTCAGCCATAAAATGACATTGAAAGAGTAATACTAACCCCCGATTCCACCGAATCCTCGCACGAACTGACTGCCTTCTTGTGATTTGTCGGTGATAATTTCCAGGGTAGCACCAAAGCTTTTGTAATTGTTGGCCAACCATTCCAAAAGCGGTTGCGATTCAACTAATTCCATTTCGACGCCACTCTAATCAAACGAGAAGAATGATTTGGTAAAAATACATGAAGTGAGAAAGTAATGGTTTGACCACAGTATCATTGTTAAATATCGACTTAAAATCACACACCTCTTTGTCGGTGAAATGGCTTTTGTCTTTCTCTTGTTCGGGCGTTAGATGCAAGACTGTTGTTGTGATTGAGTTTGCGTGATTTTTCAATACGTAACGTTGAATGTCTAAATTCTCCCAGCAAATCAATGTTTCCACTGAGCCTAGTTCCAGCGCTCGCAACGTATCCTCAACACCGAAACAGTATTTTCCAGTATCCTAAAGTGCGGGGGGAAAAATATTGGGAGAAAAACGAATAAGCAAAAACAAATCAAATAAATCTCATCAAAATGGCTCGGTTCAAAATCAACGAAAGGTAGAGAGAGAGAGAGAGAGAGAGAGAGAGAGAGAGAGACGAGACAAACCTGTGAAATTTCATCGAAGTAACGACCGATAAGTTTCTTCTCCTGAATGAATTTGACATTTTGCAACGATTCAGCCGCTAATTCGATAGCCTGGTTAAAACCGTTTTCACCACCGTACGACACGTCGACCAATTTGATAATTTTCGATTGCAATCTCTGTGAAAAGAGAAGAAGAAAATTGGTTTAGCCAGGCTGAATTGAATTAAATGCTGTGTAATGCGAAAGAAAATGACGATGATGTGGATTTGCTTACAGGATCAAACATATCGGATTGACTGAGTTCAGTCTTGAAATCGGCGCTACCGGCCAAAATGAGGCCAGCAATGTTGGGTTTGTCATTTGTGATGAACAGCTGTGTGGCCACTTCAGCCACTTTGCGTACGTAATTGTGCCGCTTTTCCATACGTAAACGTGCAAAACGCAACGCCGACTGACCACCACGGCCGTGCTTTTTCGGCAAATCAACGGTGAATTTGTGCAACACTTCACGTGTATTCCCTTGCAATGTACCAAACAATGCACCATTACCATCCATCACAATAAAACCGAATTTATTGTCGTCGGCCAGCAATGCGGTGAGAGCTTCCGTGTGAAATTTATTATCGCATAGATATAACGAGGTATTAATTGGTTTGAATGGTTCGAAATCAATGTTGACTTTCTTCTCTTTGCCTTCTTCGGTTACAATTGTCCCGCAATAAATAACTAGACCATTCGGAGGCACTTTGGTGTATAGTTTGAGTCGATGTTGTACCGATGTTATGGCACCAAGCACAGATAGACGATTTACACGTGACTTAATGTTTGACGCCGTACCAAATTCATCGGCCAACATTTTGCTAACACGTGAAATTTGATCCTTCGGTGGAATGATGAGCGATATCATACTGGTGCCATTTCTGTAAAATAAAACCGCAAGAGACGAAAAAAAGAAAAGAAAAAAAAAACGAATTTTGAATAAAAATTTCATTCTTCATCAAAGGTGTGCTTGTGTGTGTGTGTGTGAGTGGCGAAACGGGAAACACCCATAAAAAGATTTGCAAATTTGAAACAAAGAGAAACAAAAAAAAAGAACGAACAGATACAAAAATCAGTGCACATGGAATTCGGTAGTCATGTGTGACGCATGCAATAATTCATTTGAATTTTTTGAGGTTATGTTCGTTGCCATTGTGTGAATGCGCATTCATGTAATTTCATCGTTTGTTTAGATTATCCGCGCGAGCCTGTGTATCATTTGTATGAACACGACACACATTCTTTGTGTGGCTCTCGTTTTTTTTCTGTTCCGACTAGGATGTACTTCGATTGAATTATTGAATGGCTTATTGAAGGACAACCTTGGTTCGGTCTAATTTTACCGCATTGTACATAAAAACTGACAAGACAAAAACACACTCAACTCCGTCCGTATACTCTATCTAGACGGACGCCAGCAGCATTCGGTCGAAATGATATAATTCGTTTTAAATTGTAGTGCATAACAGAGCAAACAGAACACACTTTAGTGCCACTGTAATGCGCAAACTTCATCTGGCAACAAAACCAAAATACAAACTAAACCATTTCAATTCAACCCGAAAATGTGCTCCACTGTGACGATAAAAACGACCGCATATTTCAAATATGCCATATTTAACACACATAACATACAGCACATACAATCTACACTTTTCTCAACTTACCCTCGAGCCATCTCCAAACTTTTGATAAGTTTTTTGATTTTCCAGATCTCAACATTTCTATCAGCTGATGTTTCTTCGCCTGACATTTTTGCTGTGGTTACTTCGGTTTATACGGATTTTATTTCTCACACACACAAAAAAAAAAAACTAACAAACGAATACGAAAATTTCCTGCTTTTTCCTTCTTCTTTCTGAATGTGGACACTTTATTGTGCTGATTTTGCCAACGTGAATCCTGTCTGTCTTGTCAGAGATAGATTCGAATTCAATCACTTTCTCAAACTTTCTTCTGTCAACACGAAATATTTCAGTCGCTGTTCTCTGCTTGGCTACAGTTCAGTGCGCTCCGTCTCGTTCACTTATCGTTCAAATGTAAAAACGGCTGCGCTAAACGAAGAAATAAACAAACGAAGAGAAAAATAGAGAAAGAGAGAAAAAGATATCATTAGTGTGAGTCATTTCAGTGTGATGAAATTCGGAAAATGCATCTTATTATTTTATATTGGCAACGAAGCGAATCATACAGAGAGTCAATGCATAATAGAATGGCCAAACATTATTGCAATCCTTGGCGCGCGCTGTGTTTCAAATCAATGTGTAATAACGGATCTAATTACAAAATGATGTAAAACAATGTAACAACGAAGTCAAAAAGGCAGAGAGAGAGAAAGAGACAGTGTGTGTATGTATGCAATTAGAATGTTGTTTGTTTCATAAATGGAATCGATGATGATATCTCGTCACATTTCAAGTGCTGCAAGCAAACAGATGAACGATAATAATTTATAGCACAAGAAAAAAACAACAACAACAGCATAACGAAGAAGAAATATGCTCGTTGAGTGTCTCGTTCGCTGGAAGAATCGTTTTTTTTTCTTCTTTGTACTTTTGCCTGCATGTTATATCGAGGGTTATATAGATGTGTATGTAGTGGCGCGAAGACGATGGCGTTCATCGACGGCAATTGTCTGCTTTTTAATTGATAAATGTCACAGTTCTGATTGGAAATTGTTAAATCAAGTCGGCAACCATTTTTCGCTTTACTTTCACAAAGTGATACACATTCTTTCGCTTTCGATGATATGTTTGTCATGTACAGATGTTTCGTGTGCTTCCATTCGAATAAAGTGGAATTGAAGTTAGCAAAAAAACTCGAACTCGGTAAAAATTCAATGACTTTGATAAACCTACTGAAAATAAGGTCGAAAAAAACCGAAAAACGTGTTCGTCGGTCGGTGTTGGTGTGTTTTTTCCTTCTTTTTATTTCGTTTCGGTTTCATTTCGGTGTATTCGTTTGTTCTCTCGCAAAAAAAAGAAATATATTCCGCATCTATGCGTCAATACACTCTATGTGAAGGGAACGAACGAACGAAACAGAATGAAAAAAAAATTCAACAACAATAAAACCGATTTTTTCCAACCAAATCCAGTTTGATTCGAAAATTTCGCAGATATCTCGTACACTCTCTTTTACTTGCTCATTCCTCAGATCGCCGACTCGGTGTCGGTTATTGTGTCTCTTGCTCTCTCGCTCTTCCACTCTCAGGCTCTCTCGCGCAACATGCACCGTGTGCCGACGTCATTCACTCCGTTCGTTTCTTTCTATTGTTCACGCGTGGCGTTACGATATATTTGTTTAAGTTACTTGCGCGCGCTCTCTCTCCCGCTGTTCAACACATGTGTGTGCCAAATACACAAAATTTTGTGTTTCTCGCTTTTCGATATATAGATTTGCCGTCTATTCTCTACTCTGTTTGCCATTTGGCGAGAGAGAAAGAGAGAGAGAGAGAGAGAGAGAGAGAGAGAGAGAGAGAGGAAGAGAGTGGGAATTTGGGCGATTTCAATCTATGGTTTAAATCGAAAGGTGATTTCCTTGCCTAGTCGGCCAATATACACCATCACTTGTAGCAAGTACAACCGTTTTCTTTTCGTTTCGATTGGTCTAAAACAGAAGATTGAGTTGCTTGCGCCGAATTTCATGTTAGAAAAACATACTTGATAGCGGTTGGCACAATGCTTTCGATGAATATCTGTCAGAAATGTGCATTTATTTGAATCACTCACACACGCACGCACTGGCACACGCACAGACATACACACACTGTTATCATTCCATAAAATGTGGCCCATGGTAACATATGAACACTAAAACTGAATCGAAATGAATTTTTGAGTTAGAAAGCAAGAAGTAAAAACGTCACACGAACACGATACCACGATATTGATAATGATAAACCCGTTGCAATTTGCCCACTATTACTTTTTTGCGTGTGTGTGTGTGTGTGTCCGTGTATATATGAAACATTAAACAGCACTGTTTCGCGCGCGCACCTGAAAACATTTAACTAATGCACTGCCATTGGAATTTCCTACTGAAAAAAAAATCTCCCATCAACATTACTTTCATTTCTCACTGTGTCATCAAAGACTGAATTCGTATATGCATACCTCGACCCAATCTATCTGGCCAAACAAAACACACACGCACACACTCAACGTAAATTGCAATTACACCACTCAATGAAATGTTCAAAGAAGGCTAACAAACAAATCCAAACTGACTGCTAATCACCAGGTTGAACAATGAATGAAAATATGAAAACGGGAATTATTTTTCTTCTTCTTTCGTTGAATAAGCACTGGCCTGAATCGATTTCGTTTGAAGAACGAATAAGACAAAAAAGAAATATCTAAATTATTTATCAAATTTGTATCGCACCATAAAAAAATGAGCCAAAAAAAAGTAATGAAGAACGGTGGAAAAATCCGTATTTCGCCTCGTTTTTTTCTTCTTTTTTCCTCCGATCTGTTGCCAGTTCCACAATGTGTCAGTGCTGTGTGTCGCGTTTTTTCTTCTTCTTCTTCTTATCTTCTTCTTTTTGATGTATGTATAAAATATAAAATGAAATAAAATAGACGAAACGGTGATATCGCACTATGGTTTATGACTGCGTGTCCACCTTTAGTGACGACGTTTTTACACACTTATTGAGAATTTACTCTGACAAAAAAAAGCACTCACTGTTCACCATATACACATACAGACACACATACACATATGGGGGGAGCCGAATTCACATGCACTCCGAATCTCGACTTGTTCTGTGTGCGTGTGTTTCTTTCTCTTTTCTGTAGTTCACTGTGTGCGTGAATCGCACGATTCAATATGACGACTTTTGAGACACTAACGTTATTCTTTCAATACGAAGAACTCTCTGTACACTCCACGTCCCCGTTGTATTGGTATCTCTGTTTTGCGCTCGTTTGATGTCTTCGTTCTTCTTGTTCATGAATTACTTTACATTCGTTTCTTCTTTTATTCGATTGTAATGTGTCTCATTTACGCTAAGCTCTCTGTCTTCTTCTTTTTCTTTTTTTCGATTTGTCCGCGGTTTTTTTTTTCTCTATCGTCAGTTCACTTGTGCGCCAATGTGCGATCCACCACCACTCTCGCTCTACTCCAATATGGTTGATGTGATGTGTATATGTACGTAACAATTAGAATTTTTCTATATGGCAGTGGCACAATTCTTTCTTCACTTTCCTTGCATTCTACATTCACTCACACTCACACGCTTCTCATCGTCATAGATGCGTAAATGTTGGCACTCTCTGTATCAAATTTGCTTGCTTTGAAATTGAATAACTTATGGTCGATGGGGGCTTACCATACACACATACAGGAGAAATGGAGACGGATTTTTTTTTCTTCGGTTATCGTTTCGTTCTCGTTTCACACCGCGCGCCTGTAGTTCCGTCTATCCTTGTCACACCGTTGTTTGTCGTTCACGAACCCCACACGGAGAGGAACAACGAGAACGAAAGAAAAAAAAATTCCACACACCACCAAGATAGAGAGAAATTTCACGACAACGTTGAAACGGATATATTAGTATCCTCAATGAATTTGCAAACTAATCAAAAACCAAATCGATCGAAAATTGCAATCACGCAATGACGAATGTGCACATGAATTGAATATTGGAGAGAGAAAAATCACACTAAATGGCCTTACTTGTGTTTCGTTCTTTTTTTTGCGTTTTTTTTTTCTACACTGAATACATGGGGAGATTTTTCAAACACAATGTTCATTCATGTGCCCATGTGTGCCGAATGAAAGATTTTTCTACTGCTGCTGTGCGGACGAATACAACATTTACATTGATGTAACAAACACAATTGTATTTGTGGTATTCATACAACCACACGCTCACACACACACACAGAGAGAGAGAGAACCAAAAATCCTACGATTGTCAGAAACGAGACAAAATACGTCAGTCTCTTTCGTCTGAGAATGGTGTGCTGCGGTTGAGTGTTACCAGAGTATTTTATGCCCGACAGAGATGAATGGTTTCAATGCCCTCGGGTGTGTGTTGTGATGACGAATAAATTCGCGCACACACACAATCATCAACAAATGGTGGCCGCGATGCCTCGTGTCACTCGGTACGGGTGTGAGTGTAAAGCATTCTACGTCAATCGCACATACAATTCGCAACGTCGTTGTTTCGGCGAAATGTTGCCATGTGTCATGTGCAATCGATATTCGCAATTCAATCGCAGCGAATTCGCCTTTTACTCCCTTTTCACGGTTGAATGTCTCAAGAATTGCACAGTTTTCATTCTTGAAAACTCAGACAAAAAAGAGAGAATAATGTTCAAAGGTGATTGGCTTCTGAGATCGAAGGTAAATGTATCGCATGGAATTTGAAATGTTCAATTCGCAACACTTCAACTTTCGCGCCAATTGTATTTGAATTTACGTTGAGCGAGTGGTTGGTGATAATCGACGACGGTTGTATAGCTCTCGTCGATTTGACAGTCCTCACTGTCACAATTTCGGCAGCGAAAATACTAAAACACTGTAACACATCAAAGAATGCAGAGGATTTAGGTTGTACCGTGTGATTTACCAACCATTTTTCAGCGCTTTTCATGGAAATTCACGTCAAAATGCTGTGCAGTTGTGAATAAATAAAACGAAACGGTTGTGAGTTTGCTAGATAATTCGGTGCATTTGAAACGAATATCGCTTGAAAAAGGTGTATACATTTATACGGCGAGATACATAACCCCAAAAATTCATTCAAAACATCCAACGAAAAGTAAACGTTTAGACTAGTTTCTAGGATTTAGTTGGGAATTTGTTTGATTTAGAAGCTGGAAGTGATCGATTGAAAAATGTCACACTTGACGCAACGTGAAATTGAATCGTTGCGACCTGATTTGGAGCGAATTGTTGCTGAAAAAGTGTCGGACAATCATTCGGATGTGTTGACGACATTGGAAAAGTGCTTATACAGTGGCTATGATCGGAAACGAGCAACAGAGAAACTGAGCCATTGGATTGATAGTAAGAAAGCTAGCCGATTGTATGACAAATTGGAGGATTTGATGGAACGGCGAAAAAGTTCGTCAAAGTTAAATAAACGCGGCAATGACGATGCCGATGACAAAGTAATAAAGAAAATTCGAACGGGATATGAGACAAATGAAGTGTCAAATGCAAAGCCAGCACAACCACCATCAGTAGCTGCAATTCCGGCGACGCTGCCGACGGGTGTAGCACCAGCGGCAGCCGCCGATGCAAAGAGCCTAACATCGCAACAGATTAGCATGATGATGGCAAATGCACAGCGTGAAATTGAAGAGCGTAAAAAAGCACTGAGCACTTTGCCAAAGGATCCGGCAAACCAAGAGGATGTTGAACGCGCCAAAAAGATTGCCATGTTACAAGCACAAATCAAGGCCAAATTGTCGGGCATTGGCATGAGTGCGATTATACCACCCGTGCAGGAAAAACCAAAGCCACTGATTCTCGACGAACAGGGTCGTACGGTTGATAATAGCGGACGAGCGATCAGCATACCGACACTAGCACCCACACTTAAAGCCAATATTCGGGCCAAGAAAAAGGAAACATTCAACAAAACCACTCTGTCCACTGAACGCCAACAGGAGGATCAATCGCTAAAATTCTTCGATGAACGAATTGCCGCCAAACCGGCACTGCGATCGAAACGTTCGCTTCGCTTCCATGAGCCGGGTAAATTTCAACAAATGGCCGAAAAGATGCGCATGAAGGCACAGCTCGAGAAATTACAGAATGAAATTTCGCAAATTGCACGCAAAACGGGCATTAGCTCAGCCACAAAGCTGGCATTAATCGCACCGAAACAAGATTCACACGCCGAAGATGTGCCACAAATGGAATGGTGGGATTCAGTCATTCTGTCCAACGATCTGAAGACTATGGACGGTGACAATATTGCGATCCGTGAATCAGCCATTACAAACCTTATCGAACATCCGACGCAAATGAAACCGCCAAGTAAGTTTTGAATTTGGATTTTAATTCAGTGTTCATAGTTATGTCTTACCTATTTTGATCTCTAATCTAATGAAAATGTTTGCTTTGTTTTTTTTTTCTCAGATGAACCAATAAAACAAGTCTATTTACCGGTGTTCCTGACCAAAGCCGAGCAAAAGAAATTGCGACGACAGAATCGGCGTGAGGCATGGAAGGAAGAACAGGAAAAGATTCGATTGGGTTTGATACCACCGCCCGAACCAAAGCTACGAATAGCCAATTTGATGCGAGCTCTGGGCAATGAAGCCGTCCAAGATCCAACGAAAATTGAATCGCATGTGCGTGAACAGATGGCCAAACGTCAAAAAGCCCACGAGGATGCGAATAATGCGCGAAAATTGACGGCCGAACAGAAACGAGAGAAAAAAATACGCAAAGTCAAAGAGGATGTGTCTTGCGGTGTATCGGTGGCTGTGTATCGCATCCGTGAGCTCAACACATTCCACAGCAAAAAATTCAAAGTTGAACAAAATGCCAAGCAATTAATGATGACCGGCGTTGTTGTACTGTTTCGTGATTGTTGCGTTGTCGTTGTCGAAGGTGGGCCAAAGCAACAAAAAAAATATCGTCGTCTCATGATGCACCGTATCAAATGGGATGAGGATATGGTTAAAAATGCCGATGGAAATGAGGTGCCAAATTCATGCGTTCAGGTGTGGGAAGGCACTAGTGCACGTCGCCATTTCGGTGAAATGAAATTCAAACTATTCCCAATGGAGAAAATGGCACGTGAATTTTTTCAAAAGCATCAAGTCGAACATTACTGGGACCATGGTTATACGGGTGCGGTATTGGAAGCATGTAAGCAAGAAGATGTATAAAAAAAAAATTCTCCACACATTTTGATCCTTCACGAAAAAATCACAGAGTAAACAGAATCAACAGCGAGGGAAAAACCATGCAAAAAAGAAGAAAAAATCCATCGGAATTTATATCGTTTGCATAAAATATTTTTAAGTTTTTTGGCAATAAAGAAAAGAAGAAAAATAATGTTTTTGAAAGAAAGAAAAAAATTAAACCGTTTCTTTTCTGCATTATTTCCACTTGCGTCGAAAGGGTTTTGCTGTCGACTCACAATCGGCACAAGCGTTATCGTACGCATCTACTATATATATGTCGGGCGAATTCGCCGGGATATTTTTGACAGTTAATTTGGTCGCCATCATCGCATACGACAGAAGAGAATACATTTTGTGTGTTAGTTTGTGGGGTATCTAAGAGCTGAAAGCCGCAACACACACAATTTTTTTTCTCGCGTAAAAGAAAACCTTACTTCGAATTGAATATGATTTTACATTGGACGGACTAAAATCGATTGGAACTTTTTTGAATTAATTTGCTCTTTTGCATAAATCTCCATATATTGGAAAGGATCTCTTTGATTTAATGCTCAATTGGTTTTCATTTTAATTTTCATCGTACAAGTGTATATGAAGTAATTACACAAACAATTTTTCGTTGCATACCACCATTGCGCTGCGAACCACTAAACTCTAAATTAGCATTTTCGACCAAATAGTAAACCGATAACAAAATAAACAACAACACTTGGAGAAAGCGAGAGAGGAAAAAACGAGAGGGACAGAGAGAAGAAAACACGTTCAAACACCGAAAAATCGATGTGTTAGAGCGTGTAAAAACGTGCATTTGCAAATAAATCGCATTTTGGTTTCTGTTTTTTTTTTTTCATTCGGTGCATAGAGAATAGTTTTAATATATTTGACGACAGTTTTGAATTTGGTCGAAGAATTTCGTGCTTCTTCTTTTCGAATTGCCAGTGTCTTGCTATCTCTCATTCGTGCGCACCTAACGTCAATCGCAAAGTGTTTTCTTTATATGAAATTTCCTGTGTGTACTCATTAAGTAATATACAAATAAAAAAAAAAACAAACGTTTAAAAAAATATTATCATCGATACCATGGAAACAAATAGCAATGAAGGCACTGCAACGATTGATTCATCCATAAATATGGACGCATCGGAGAAAATGATGAATACAGACGATGAATTTTTTGATGATTCGGCTCAAAATTCCGCCGATTTTGACAATGCTGACAATGACGACGGTTTCGAGCAACGTTTTCAGGCGGCTAATCGTGGTGGATTCAGGTGAATATTATTTCGAGCTTTTTTTTCATTTTACATTAAATTTATTCATATACTTGTGGGCACACTTCGGTAGTAATTTGTAAGGTGGTGTTTTTTTTCACAATCTGTACCCTGATCGCATCTGATTCGATCGAATAAATTAAAAATGCGCAGATATTGAGTGTTTGAATGTTTGTGTTTGTATATTTAGAGGGCGATGGAATGCCGGCGCAACGTCACCACGGTTCAGAGGTCGTGGCGGTTTTGGGCCAAATCAAATGGGACAACAGATTCGAGGCCGAGGAGGACCACAGTACTTCCGAGGTGGTCGTGGTGGTGCTCGATTTCCGAATTCCGGCAATTTCGATCCAAATTGGAATGGACCGCCGATGTATGGCAATTCCCATATGGGGTTTGGCAATCAACAAGGCAATCAACAAGGCGATCAACAAAATGCCCCATTTCATCAGGTATGTAGCCGATATAACGATCAATTTCAATGGAAATGAATTGATTGAAATTCCAATTGATTGACTCATTGCAGCGAAATAATTTCAATCAAGTCGAACTGTGGGTCGAAACCAAAACCGATGAAGGAAAATCATACTATTACAATGCAATTACACGTGAAACGACATGGACTCGTCCTGAAGGCCATTCCGTCAAGATTATGGGCCAAAATGAGGTAGAAGCTATGCAAGCAGCCAAAATACAGCAGCAGCAGCAACAACAACCAGATGTAAGTAGTAATTGATTTCAATCTTGCTTTCGAAAAAGCTAAAAAAAAAGAACTTGGATGTTTGCTTTGTGATCAACTGTAATCAATCTCATTGATGCGATGGAAAGATGACCCAAAATTCAATGATTTCATTTGTTTTCTTCATTTGTGTGTGTAGCAACAACAGCCAGACTCTCAATTGACTCAAACGACGCTGCAAGAAAATACACCTGGAACGGGTGGAAATCAAGCGAATGCCGACAGTTCGGAGTCAGAGACTGTTCAATTGAATGGCGATAATAAAAGTGAGTCAAATGGGCAGGCGAATATGGATGCATCTTCGGGATCAACACCAAATGAATCAACGAAAGGTGATCAGCCCAGTCCAAATCTGAATTCCACAACAACAACACAGCCACCACCACAACAAACCCCTGCTGTTCAACCGTTAATGAATATGCCAATGCAGAACCAAGCACCGCCACCGATGCAACAGTTCAACACACCACCACCGTTCACCGGTTTTGGAATGCCGCCGCCAAATTACATGTATCCACCGAATCCATGGAATCCAATGCCTTGGCAACAGCCGATACCACAAATCGGAAACGATAAATCGCGAATGGTCGATCCGCAGGTAAACTAACTATGATACAACATTGCTTGCAATGTTTTGTTTTTTCCGCTATTTGGAAATGTCGATTGAAAAATTAAATGAAAATTTCAATCCTAAATTTACAGATTTTAGCACGAGCCGCGGAATGGAGTGAACATCGAGCTCCAGATGGTCGCCCATATTACTATCATGCAATTCGTGGCGAGAGTGTGTGGGAAAAACCACAACCTTTAAAAGATTTGGAAGGTAATTGCGTTTGTTTAATGCATCATTGAGTCATTAATGATGGTCTATTTCTACTTTACTTTCATACAGCCGCTCGAATGTCAGGGCATCCACAACCATTCCCACCGATGGGAGCACCTGGAATGATGCCACCAGGCATGGGCAATCCAGCGATGCACGCACAACCAATCGTCTCGAATGTTCCATTTGATGCAATGAACTTTAAGCCGGACAAAAAGCCGGAAGAAAGCGAAGAAGCGAAACTGGAAAAGAAGAAAAAGGAAGAAGCAACGAAAAAGAAGAAAGAAGAAGAGGAAAAGGCGAAACAAGCGCCGGCAAAACCACAAGATAAAAGTCGTCCCATATCATCGACGCCAATTGCTGGCACACCCTGGTGTGTCGTGTGGACAGGCGACGGTCGTGTATTCTTCTATAATCCCTCGACGCGAACATCAGTTTGGGAGCGGCCAGAAGATCTCGTTGGTAGAGCTGATGTGGATAAAGCCGTTTCAGCGACACCATCTGGTGAGTGAATCATGCCCTTATTATTTCCATACTATAATCATTTAGCATCGTAAATTATCGTCCAATTACATTTTGGGCATAATACAATAATCAGGCGCGTTTAAAGTAAACCATTTTATATTTTCTCAACGATTTTTTTTATCGTTTTGATATCAAATTGAGCACTTCTTGAACCATTTTCCTGATTATCTGTTCTTTTTAGTCTGAATGAGATCTATTACAGTACACGTTGTGCATTATCCATTCCAAATATTCCATATTTTCAGCAACACCTGATGCAACGACAACGGAAGACTCAACCGCAGCCACCAAACGATCTGAATCCGAATCGAGTGGTGAGAATGAGGTGCCGAACAAGAAGCCCAAATTAGTGGAAACAACAACGTCCGCCGAAAGTACAAATGCACCCGCCACAGCGACAACAACGCCTGCAACGAATGCCACAAAACCGATTGGCGACAAAAAAAATGACATTGGCAAAGAGGCGGCAATCGAAGCCGAAGTGCGGGCAGCCAGAGAACGAGCCCTTGTTCCGCTTGAAACTCGTGTAAAACAATTCAAAGATATGTTGAAAGAGAAAGATGTAAGGAGATTACTCTGGTTTTTTTTTTTAATTTCTTTTGTTCTATCTTGACACCATTTAATAATTGAATTTGCTGATTTTAGGTATCCGCCTTCAGTACGTGGGAGAAAGAATTGCATAAAATCGTATTTGATCCACGGTATCTGTTGCTAACGTCACGTGAACGAAAACAAGTCTTCGAAAAGTATGTGAAAGAACGGGCCGAAGAGGAGCGACGCGAAAAGAGAAATAAGATGCGACAGAAACGTGACGATTTCCGTAGCTTAATGGAAGCCGCCAATCTACATGGAAAGTATGTAGTAGCCAAAAAAATTTAAAAATTTCAAATTATCCAATTTGTTAGCCTATAAATTATGATTGCTAATCCACTTGTTTGTCTTCCACCATTCAGATCATCATTTTCTGATTTTGCCCAAAAGTATGGCAAAGATGAAAAATTCAAAGGCATCGAAAAGATGCGCGAACGCGAATCATTGTTCAATGAGTATATTGTAGAGATGCGTCGTCGCGAGAAGGACGAAAAGATCCAGAAGAAAGAAACGGTTAGTATACGCAATAAATATCCTCAAATTCCAAATTATATTATTTATTTTTTATAACGAAAAAAAAAAACATACCCAACCAAAATCACACATTATTAGTTAGTGGAAATTATATAAAATAATCCAAAATTCATAAATTAAAACAGAACCGAATTTTTTTGAGGCAAATCTCCTTGTAAGAATAGATTTATTCATTGGCCTTGATCCATACACAAGTGATATCATTTTGTGAGCAATGTGTGAGTGTATTTTTGTTTTGTTTTCAACAAATGAACAAAATTTGCAAAACCAACCAACCAAAAAACAGAAGAATAAAAATGAAATTTCAAACAATGTACAAAGAAGCAACAACAACAACAACAAAAAAAATATTACAACTATAGAACATTTTGGCGGCTTTTTGCAGAAATTTAGCAATTTGCTAAATTGAATTTGATTAATAACGTGAGTGCGACCGACCAAATTTTTTTGTCGATAATTCCTTTGATAGACAAAACTTGATTTCTTCTGCATTTCAAAATGATAGAAACACAGTGCAGTTTTTCTAAATTCATCTGAACCTAGTGAAATAGAAATGACAATTGAAGAAAATAACAAAACAATGAGAAAAAAAAAAACATCAAAATTTCACAAAAAGTGTAGATTTAGATATGATATAGTTTTGTAATTTTAAATGATCCACCAAACCAGACAAGAGACAAAGGTGTGTACGGAAAATGTGAAAAAATAAAATTGTTCTCGAATTTATTGGCGTTTGATTGTCGATCGTTGTGTGCATCGTGCTGCTGCACCCTGAATTCCATCATCATGAGCAGACAGAGGTCCCCCCTTAGAAAAAAAATATGTCGATCGAATACACACGCATACACACATAAACACATACACACAAACAAACCCATAACGCATCCATGGTATTTGTGTTTGGCCGACTCCTCAATTACTAGTAAAACAAACCAACCAAACAAACCAATTTATTTAAATGAAAAATTAGTGAGCAAAAATGGTGTCATTGTTTTGGTTTTACGTGTGCAATCGAAATAGAAGTTGGCCAAAGCGCAAACTTTTTATGTCAATTGTCATTTACGTCGTTTGTACGTCTGATCCAACCTATATTAAATCGTATGTACAAACAGTGACCATTTAATACGAAAATGTTCACACACACACACAAAAAAACAAACCAATAACAACAACTCATGAAATGAATAGCCAAACGTGGAAATTAACTAAGACCATCTTAGTAATGTTCTAATCCAAAACCATTTAATTTCAGCTAATTTTTTAATACTTCTTTTCTTCTAATTTTTTCAGCAACAAAAAAGAAACGAAACGAAAATGCTCGAAACTAAATAATGAATCCCAATCTTTTTTTTTATCTCAAAATAATCATTTCTATATATGAGTTTCGATCAAATTGAATTTTATAAGAATATAAACACTCACTATAAGTTGATATATTAGAAATAAGCTAGCGAATAAGTTTGATTTTTCGAATTAAGTTTTTTTTTGCAAAAAAACGAAATTTTCTATATTTTTACTGCAATAACCATTATGATGATTTGACTAATAATTTTTTTTCTATATTTTTCTCTGTTATTTTTTTCTCTCTCTCTCTCTCTTTCCTCCACCGTGCTGCGCCCATCCACCTTGTTGCGAATGGTTTGTCTCTGGCTTGTCAAAAAAAAAAACACAAAAAAAAATGTTCTAAAACATTTACATATATTTCAAACATGTAAAAATTCCATGTAATGTTCTATTTTGGGGGCGAATCACAATTTGAAACAAAAACAAACAAACACACACAAACAAAAATGTAGATTCGTAAGGATTTTCTAGCATTGTTGCGGGAATGCAGCGAGATTACTCGTCACAGCCGTTGGGCCGATGTTAAGAAAGTCATCGATGGTGACAAACGATATCGAGCGGTGGAGAGTTCAATGCTGCGCGAAGACTATTTCCATGACTATTGCAAAATTTTGAAGGAAGAGAAACGCAAGCAAAAGGATAAGGAACGCGATCGCAAGGAGAAAAAGGACAAAGACAAGGACAAGGAGAGGGAAAAGGAGAAGGACAAAGACAAGCATCGCGATAAGGATCGACGCGAAAAAGGTAAAGATGGTAAGAGTAAGGAAAAACAAAATACCAGCAAAGATGAGGATAAATCCAGTCGCAACGAGTCTGATAAAGACGATCAGGTAAGGATGAATCGAATGCAATCAATGTTCCATTCAGAATTTGATTTAATCGATTTCGTATTTAATGTCGCTTCACAGGAGGATGGTGAGCATCAATCGTCATCGTCAGAAGATGAATCGGACAAGCATCAGAAGGAGTGTGATCGTCAGATGCGTGCAATTGTGGAGCGTGAGAAGGAAGTGCAACAGCAGCTGGCTGGTCATTTGCGTAATCTACACAAAGAACGTGAACATCACAAACGTGACGAGGCGATACGGCATTTCAACGCATTGCTTGCCGATTTGGTGCGTAATCCTGATCTCACATGGAAAGAGGTAAAAAAAATATTGCGTAAAGATAGTCGTTGGGAATCCGTTGAGCTACTGGATCGAGAGAATCGTGAGCGTATTTTCAACGATCACATCTTGCAATTGGGTAAAAAGAAACGTGACAAATTCCGTGAAATGCTTGACGAACTCACACTCGAACTGACCGCATCGTGGAAGGATGTTAAAAAGCAAATACGCGATGATCCACGCTACTTGAAATACAATAGCAGCGAAAAATGCGAACGTGAATTTAGAGAGTATATACGCGATAAGACCACCGAAGCCAAAGTCGCATTCAAAGAACTGCTACAGGAATGCAAACTTATTACGTACAAAAGTTTCGAAACAGTCAAAGAGAATCCGCTACATTTGAAGGAAATTGAGGATATTTTGAAAAATGATAAAAGGTAACCAAAAACACAAGATGATGACAACATTCGATGACCCTTCTTTTACTAATCATCTCATTCCTCTTCGCACAGATTCCTCATATTGGATCACATACAGTACGACCGTTCGCATATTTTGATGAATTACTTGGAAGAGCTACACAAACGAGGACCGCCACCGCCCCCCACAGCCAGCGATTCATCCAGACGAAAATAATCGTATGAATAAAGATTTTTCTTCTTTTATAATATTTTTTTTTTTAAATCTATTTTTAACTTTTAATTTCCAACTTTTTTTCCGTTGAATTTACACTTGAGTCTTTGTATTTAGAAAGAGATTTTTTTTTCCGCATAGTTGATTAACAGACACATAACTATATCAACGCAATTGAAACAAATAAAAGAATTTAAAAACAAAAACAACAACAACCATAACAAACAATTAAACAAATGAAATCATTGACGACTTGACTTTTATTTAGTTTTCATTTATTTTTTCCATTTCCTGATTTGATATTTTTAGCTCTCGACTGCTTTGCATGTGTATTAATTAATATATGAATCGTCGAAGAAAAAAAAAGTGGCTTGATGTGGCTAGTGCATAATTTGATCCGAACGTGCTTCTTGAAATCTGATCGGATTTTATAATTACTTGTCGGTTTATGCCACTACAAAGTTCTTTGCGCCTCCGTAATTAATGTTCGTGCTGTTGTACACTCGCATTTTTGTACAATCAAAACGCTCCTTTCGTAAAAATAAACAGATATTCAAGCCGAAATCTCAAGCATAAAGGAAGCACCAAGCCAAAAATTACACACGAATCATTCGTTTGATGTGAAATGAGCGCTTCATTCAAACGTAGAAATGAACAGCAGCGTCAGTATTTGTGAACAATTCAACGGGCCAAGACAACAACTGTTTTGGGTAAAAACAAGGAAACACATTCAGATCAACAAAAAACGATTGGAACAACACTGTTTCTGCTATGGTTAAACTGTATTTGATTGGTTTATTTATGTTTTATTTCGCATCAACAATTCGCTCAGCATTGGCTGAAAACACAGGTAAATCGGATGGATAATTTTGCATTTTAAGAGGAACTAAGCGTGTTTTCTGAAGAATTTTTGCTTTCGAAGAACTAAACGTATCAGTTTTGGATAAATGAGCTTCGAAATATTTCAAAATAGGGCGGAGTATCGAAATATTAGAAAAGTTATTGGATGTAATTGCTTCGTTCAGATAGTTTTTGTATGGAAAAAATTGAAAAAAACTTAAAAATCAAATTTCTGTTCCCAAAGACACGTGTCGAAATTTTCAAAATATTCAACGGGAGAATTTCATTCGAACGAAATTTGTGGTGTGTGTGTGTGTGTGTGTGTGTGTGTGTGTGTGTGTGTGTGTGTGTATGTATGTATGTGTGACTGGAATAAAAACGCTTCTATAGGAGTGTGTTATTATTTTCATTTCATATTTTCATCATAATTCAGGCATTCGGTTTTTGTTTCGATATGATTGAGGATATTTATAGCCAACTAAAACCACTTCAGATTTCCGCTCTTGTGTTTTTCGTTTGTATTTCCATTCAACTATAATTTTGAACAAGTACCAACTGAAGGCCGATTACATTACTTAATTAGAGAGTAGAGAACGCATAATGTGTAACATATCTCAAATTCCGAACAAAATAAAAACAGAAACCAATTTTTTGAATGTGTGTAAACAAAATTTAGCTAATGCATACTGAATGAATTGCATTTTTTTGTTTAAAAAAAAAATCGATGAAATTGTTTGTATTTTCTAGACGCCAATTTTGGCTATAATCCAATCGAAACACAGCGCGCAGAATGCACTCTCATTTCGGGAGATGTTCGGGCTAGTGCGGAGGCGAGTGTTTCACGAAAACTTGAAGGATTCTGCGGAACAGGTAAATTGTTGACTGAAGTTTATTTGAATTTTTGCTCAATGAAGCACAGGTCCTCGGACTTTGAGATTTTTTTTTTTGGAATTTTTCAATGTTTGCTTCTTCAATTTTCACAACTTCTCTTATTTTTTCTCTATTTTTTTAAAAAAAATTTTAAATCTTCTTTCAAATTCTTTCAACTTATTTCAAAAATTGGTCGCAGAACACTTAAGTCGTGCATTTGGCAATTTGGAGTATCGATTGCTAACTGAAATAAATCACCTGAGAAGCATGATAAATCTATTACTGCCACCACTGTATCAGCAGCATTATTTCGCTCAGCCACAGCCCCACCTCTATCAGCCATTGCCATCGCCGTCAACGAACTCAACGAATGTTGTAAAGTCAACGCAATTTTCGCCATCTGAGAAGAGTTCGAAAGTATCGGAAATCGGTTCACATCAATCGAATGAAATTCAAAATGAAAGCCCATTTGCTGTGGGAACGTCGGCACCGTCCACTGATGCTCCGAACCAAAAAGAGGCGACCACAATTCAAGAATCGACAGAAGTAACCGTTTTACCAACCGAAAGGCAACTAGAATTCAAGCCAGTACAGAAGAAACCGCATGACAGAAGCAAATCCAATCAAAAGTAATGACAGGCCAATTTTGGTTTTGACATTTGTTGGAATTTTCTTTTTCTAATATCGTGGTAATTATTCATTTTCAGAACTAAAACCGGACCGCGTGAATTTGAAATAAATAAATTGAATAATACAATTCAGCTCGGGGCCGATCTACAGATTTTCACGTACTATTGGAAAATTGAGCATTTTTCGGAGAAATTGAAATCAAACATATCAACCATAAGCAGTCCGATATTCTCGATTTCCGGTCTTTTCTTACGCGTTACAGCCACACTGAACCATTTGAGCCGAGATTATTTGTACTTGCAATTGGAACAAGTGTCATCTGGAAAGGGTGCGGATAAATCAAATATCATCTTGAAAACGGGAGATTTATTCAAAAAAATTCAAACAAAATTCGAGTTCAAACACAAAATCGCCATTCTTGATCAAGTGAGCAATTCAATAGCAATTCTTTACCATACTTTCTTTGTAATGAAAAATTGCCTATGTTTTCAAGTGAATAATCCTGAAATGTTCTGAATATTGTAGGTGACTCCAACAAACGATTTGATTTCCCATGAATTTGCCAACACAAGTCAAGGATTTTTAGTGCCCAATAGTGCCATTCTCTTGGGCCCTTATTCAAAAGGTGACATTCTACTCGTAAAAATCGTCATGAATCTCTGATTGAGACGTCACCCAACGGCTGAGTGTGTTCAAATTTTAGTGGCCAATGAATGGAATAAAATTAGAGTGTTACATACAAAACACAATCGATTCATTCATTTATTTTTCTTTATTTTCGTCAAAATAATTCTCGATCTTTTTACAATTTAATTTCCTATTTTGTTATTTTCTTTTATTTAAATCTCGCCTACGTCTATCAGTTACAATCAATATTTCACAGAGAAAAAAAACCTCTTAATCATAGTGAATTTTGCTAATATCTTCATATTGAACGTTATGTACTAGCCGACCTTTGAGTAGTCCAGAGGCAATTTCGATGCTAACGCAATAGTTGTCGATATCAATTTCCTTTAGGATGGCCGTGTATCCGCGATATCCACCATTCAATACCTTAACTAGTTTTCCAACCGTTGGAATGACTGTTTCGCAGTGTGCCTGATCCAATTTCACTTTTTCACCAGAATCCAACAGTTTTATTTTGCCACCATATCGGTCGATAACTTCCAGCACAACGCCTTTTTGTTTGTAAAATTTGTCGCCCAGAGATTTCGTAATGATTTTCACAACGATACCTTCGGCTAACCAATAATCTTTACGATTGATTTTCTCTTTTTTCGTTTCTTCCATTTTGATGATGTCGTCGAGTGCGCTGCGCTTACGGCTACTACTGCTTTCAACCTTTTTGCTTGGCGCCATGCTTGTACTTGGCTTGACAAAAATGTCCGCATCGTCTTTTGATTTAGCACTTTCCGCTGGTTTTTTCTCATCCAAACCATTTTGGGTTGGCAGTTCAACTTTCACCTTATTCGTTTTGATGGACAATTTGATTTTCTCATCCTCGTTTTCACGCTTCATTTCGGTGTATTCGACGGTTTTGGCTTTTTGTGCATTCTTTTCCACTTGCTTTTGAATGTACTCCATGTGGCGATCTTCATCGTCTTTTTCTTGCTTCTCTTTGCGTGCAGCTTTGGCTTGGCGCTCCAATACTTCGGGACTGCGATCGATATACGTAACAAACCAACCCTTTTCCGTTTCATCCACCGTGCAAACACCCTCTCTGCCCAAATGCTTCACATAATCGGATAGCGTAAGCCATTTCGTAGCGTTCATGTGCAAGTGATCCTTATCGGCAATATACTCCTGATAGATTTTATTGGCCGATACACGCTTTGTGCCGAAACGACGACGCAACAGCTCTACGTAGCCATCGGAAAACTCCTTCGAGAAACTGTAGATGTATTTGTTGGAATTGTCGGCAAAAAGCAACAATTGGCGTTGATGCGACTCACTTTGCGTATGACACTTGAAACCGTTCTCGTCACGGCACTGTTTTTGACACATCTGACAGTACCATCGCAACTTTTGCAATCCCTTCGCCTTCATTTTATTGGCCAAATACTTTGGCGTGCCAGCCTCAGCTTTACCCATTTTGATGCTTCTTGGCTACTTGCTACTGAACGATTTTAAACGTAAGACGACAAATAGTTTGGCTATTATTTTGGAAACGGATCACTCCTTGAATTCGAAATTGTTCGGAACAGTTTTTTCTTCGATAAAAATATTGAACACAAGTCAAAAACAAACAAACAAAAAAAGAAAAAAACCTTGCTTTTAGCGATCTAAACAATAATTGGTTGTGAAATCAACTTCGAATGTCTTTTGTTTGTGTGTGACTGAAATGAGAAAATAATGTGACGTTTCATGTGTCAAAGTGCATTCACTACTCTCGTCGATGTTGAAGAATATTCATGAAATTGCCTAACAAATGGAGGACGGTCAGCATTTGTGATGACATCTTGTGAAAATATTTCGAAATAGCCAAGCTTACTCGAAGTGGAAGAAAAACAAACAATGATTTACAATGAAATTACGTGTGAATCATATGATTTATAGTGATTTATTTGTTGACACTATGATATCATTGTTGTGTTTCACGGTTTCAATTGTAATTTTTTCCTTTTTTTATTTTCCGGTAAAAATATATTTCGATTTTCAATAAAAATGTATTACTAAAAAAAATATTACAAGAAACATGACTGGGTTTTGTTTTCCTTTCCAAAATTTGGGTTTATTCGAATTTATTGACGATCTTCGGTTGGTTTGGTGCTAGATGTATTTGGTTCGTTGGCAATATCAAAGCGATTGACGAATGCTGGCGGCGGTGGAACGCCACGGAACTCCGGTGGATAGGTGGTTTTAATTTTCATTTCAACATCATTGCCGGTCATAACGACGGTTTCGGTGTTTGCAATTGAATAATCCGATGTTGCATCACGGCTTCCTTCACCCGTGATCGCCAATTCAGCCACATGATTTTGCTGTGTTAGTTCGACTGTCTTCGATAATTGGGCGGTGTTCGAGTTTTGATGACTACAAAGAATCGATTCGAGCTCAAAACAATGGGAATTTATGGACAGAAATTTCGGAATGGAAGCAAAGCGCGTTAGGAAAATGCGAAGCAAAAGATAAAAAAATCGGTAAAGCAATTGAAAATGATTATATCAGAAGGAACAAAAGGGCGCAGGAATGATTTAAAGAGAAAAAAAGAAGCATTTTTTTGCAAAAATTGCGATAAAGGAGAGATGTTACATTTTGGTGACAAAACTCACACGTTCGGAGCGGTTTGATTGTTATTTCGGTATGGATCGTACATGGTGAAACCACGACGGCCTAGCTCTTCATCTGGCTGGATGTTGCGCGACGTAAATGCATAGTTATCGTATCCACTAAAATAGAAAAAAAATATTTTAGAAATTTTTTGGTTTGTACACTGTTTTTATCTGCAAAAAAAAAAGAATTACGTAATTGGACCCATGTTATCGAAGTGGAGTTTACGCTGTTGTCGCTTGATTTTCGATATTTGACCACAAATGCCGGCCAGGAAAAAGATGATGATTATAAAAATGAATGCAAACACTCCGGCCAAAATGAAAATTTGTAGCTGCAAATCGACGCCGATATCCATTTTTACGGTGCTTTGATCTTGTCACAACTGACTGTTTCCAGAAAATGATTGTTTTTTTGAACTGATTGTTTGTTGCTTGGTTTTGAAGAATTTAATCCGTTCTGTATCACACCCGAGGAAAAAAAATACAATTAAATCACGTCGTTCTTATGTGGGCTTTAATCAAATCATCGATTTTATTTTCTGCTATTGTTGTTTGCTTTGGTTTAATCACAGTCTGAATCGTTTAAAAACAATACCCAGAAAACAATCTCTGACCGAAAATGGGCAATTGAACACTAATCAGCTGATAAATCTCTTTCTCATGGCCAGGCCGGACAATCACTTGGTATATTTTCGCCGCGCGATTATTTTGATTTGTTTTTTTGTTTTTTTCCAAATATCTACGTGACAAATCGTTCAAGTTGCATCATTGCAACCACAATCATAAACTGATAGACAGACAGACACAGTCTCGGCGACTCACTCACAATTTCTCACACAGGAAAGCGTCAAGGGAGAAATAAAATAAAAAGTACACACAATCAATTTTCGTTCAGCATTGAATTGGTGTGAATAGCGCGCGCCATTCGCCTTTGTGACTTTATCAAAAGTGGAATTTGAATTATCTATGAAAATAAAATCGCGATTCTTTCATTGTTTCCCGGCGTTTTTTTTTTCTCTTTCGTTATCGTTAACAGAGCCTAGGTATATGTGTGCCGGTGACACAGGCGCAGTGTTGTTATGCGATTGAATACAATGTGTGCGTAATTGAATATGATAAATCGTTAAGAAAACAAACGACACAAAATAGTACAAACGGTAAAATGTTTATAGCCTCTTGTAAAATCGCTTTAATGGAAATATAGATAAGATTATGAATTTCGGTGGTTACCTGCATATATTGTCACTATTTTGCAATTCAATTGAGCCGAGAGAGATACCGGGTTAGATTTTTGTATCTGTCGCAACAAGCATATTTGAATTTTCGGCAATTCTCCCCATCGAAATAGTTTGGACAGCCGTAGATAATATACGATGAGCGACGCAATTTTCTCTTTCTAAATTGTCGATATCTTTTCTTTTTTTTTTCGTTGCGAGTAATGGTTCAACCTAGTTTCCGCTATTGGAAACGACAACCAAAAATACATATTAAACACAAACACTTAATTAGCTGTGCTGTGTGTAGGAGAGACAATTAGTGGGCAACCATCGCACTTGTTGTGCGTGTCACATAGTGTGACTTGTTGATGCCGACCGCTCTTGTTCGATCTCTCTATCGCTGCACGTTGCATTCCACTTCTGGATTCTCTCTCGATCGACACCCAACCAACGTAAAATACTGAGCGTATGTGTGTAGAAACTGTCGCAACTGCTCACTTTCAGTTGACTTTGATTTGAATTAATTCGTGAGACGCTTCTGGTGCATTTTTGCGTATTGATTTTGTTGTGTGTGTGTGTGTCTCCGTTTCGTCATCGTTGTTGTTAAATCAAGGGTAAGTTACAGAATGTGACTGAGTTCTGAGAATTTGACGCCTCCATTGTTTTCTTACATGGCTTCAGTGGACCACGAGACAGTTCGTTTTTACGAGCCATTGTACATGCGTTGTCCACACAACGCATATTATGTAGTAGCCGTGGCAAAAGTGATTGCGATGAATTTTTGAAGTAAATATATCTTAACAAGTCGATCAGAGAGTGTGTGTTGAATTAAGAAGACAAACAAAAAAGTTTGTATGAGTAGCAGCAGCAGCAGCAGCAGCAATGCACACACCAAACGGATCGGATTACATCGATGGCTGCACTGTTTCATGTCTCAGCTCTGACAGAGTGTTACCGTGTGTAATTATTGCAAAAAATCTGCATCTCTTCCACTTTTCATATGATGTCATGTTCATTGAACGTATAGATTTGATTATGGAATAGTTGCATTTCGCATCGTTCAAACAGCATAGTTGCGATTTCGCTTTTAGTGCATCTAATGGCCAAGTGCCAATTGGAATTTAGTCAGAAAAACAAACCGTATACATTTCTCTCTCTCTCTCTCTCTCTCTCTCTCGCTCTCGATCGCCAACGATTTGCTCAATCGAAGAACTGATCATTATTTATTTTATGCATTTCTTGATAATGGGTCGCAGTGTGGAGCGCAGGACAAAAGCCACTCATCAACTCGTCACATTTCAACATCGTTGCGATGATGCTCAGCACGCAACATTCCTGGAATATTGCTATGTCGCTTGTGTATGTGTGTATTGTGCAATGTGTGTCGCTCCACGCTCATCTCTCTCTACCTCCCTCCCTCCCACTCTCATTTGATCTTTTGTTTTGACTGCTACTTGCTTACGTATTTCCAACAAAATGATTTGACCCAAACGAGCATTCAACGGGCCAAAATTCAAATGAATTCGAGCCTGTGTATGCGCCGTTTTATTTTTCGGATGCACACATTTGTCTATAGATATTTTCAGCGTTTGACCACTGAATGTGCGTCTTAGTGTGTGTGTGTGTGTGTATGTGTGTGTGTGTGTGTGTGTGTGTCTGTTGCTGTGTCCTTTTTCAGCTCTTCTCCCTTGTTTTCACTTCATTCACATTTTTTTTCCTTCGCAAATTGATTTGCTTGGACATCATGCAAATGATGAACACGGTGCCGTTGCGCTCATTTCTGTTATTCGATATGTTTTAATTCCCCGGAATCAAAGATGTTTCACGTCAAAAACTCAGTCAAGCTCAATAATAAGTTAATAAAAATACTTCTGCTGCTGCTGCTGCTGCTGGCTGCCTGGATAAATGATTGTTTCTTTTGTTGTTGTGTTGTTGTTTTTTCTCCTGCAAGCGTGTTGCATTTCCTTCATTACCTACTTCAGTCTGATTTTACCTTGAAATCGTGTTAGCTGTTGTAATCCGTTTGCCATGTACATGGGATTTTTGATAACAACAACAACAAAACCAAATTTTCTGCACATTTCCGACGCGAAGCGAACCGAATATATGGGCCCTGGTGTGCATAAATCATTTTGCTTTCGATCAAATGATTGAAATTGAACTGCTGAAACGGTCACTTCCACAGCAGTTAGAAGAAGGTTGACACTTCTGCAGAATGAGACAGAGAGAGAGAGGCAGAAAAGGCATATTAGTCATAAGTTTGGTTAATTCGATTTTCATCGACCAACAATATCCTCTCTGCATTTGTTTTTGACCAGTCATTTTTGTGTATGTCTGCGCCGTTCGCTCTTGAGTGAAGTCAAACGAGAGAGAAAAAAAACTGGAGAAGAATATCCATTGTTTCGTTGTTTACCAGCAATGGAACAAATGGAATCGATTTCGGTTCACTGCCACTTCGTTCAGTATTCGGTTTTTTTTTTTCTCGTTTCGTTGTTTTGTAAAATACATCAATTACAAAATACCAATGACTTGACAATTTTATGCTACTTGGCAAACCGTTCATGTCAGAGTTAGAAACACCCCAGAGATCACATGAAATCATCGTTCTCATCGTTCATTTTCAATTGGTCACTATTAACGGATACTTACGAGAAAAAAAAAATGAAATATATAGGTATGATATGCGAGATAAACCTGGAGGCGGTCGAAAATGAACGAACGTCGAACATAACACACAACGTACAATGATAGGAATCGTTGAACTTAATAATACGATGATCCGTTTGCAATCGATTGCAAGCAACCATCACACACACTTATACAGTGGACAATGAAATGTTTGCTCAGAAACAAGAATTAATTATAGGCTGCATTTCGAAAGCGTAATCACGAGAGAGAGAGAGAGGAAGAAAAAAAACGCACAGATCCGTTGAAAATTGAGAACAAAGTGCCCATCTTTCGAGGTAGACAATGGACATTGGTGCGGTTTAGAAAATTGAAAACCAACTAACAAGATGTCAAGCACAATGAACACCAAATAATGCGTTGAATTGCCATGTCGAAACATCAATTGACTATGAACCATCAAGAATTCACCGTCCGCTCCATCATCATCATGGTCCATTTCATTCAAATATCAATTCAATTATCTAATTATAAGTGTTGCTCCGTCGCTCGCTCGCTCGCTCTACTCATGCAATCAATATCAGGTTTTGGCACATATCTTTGGAAGGCGTCAAGATTTTCTTGCAACTGAAAAGCATTTAAGACGGTTTTTTGGTAACAACATGTGCAATGCTCACATAGAAATCTAATAGCTGTGTGTGCAATCTAATATCTAATGCTTTGCTCTTAATGTGCCAAATTCTATCCTGATGATCGTTCAAAAAGAAGCTTAAATCGAGTGATTTAATCAGTAATTTGTAGAGAATCTAACAAGGTGCGAGCAGTGATCGATGTGTAGGTTTTTTTTGTCTGATTTGAGAGAGAAATTAACAGAGCTTAGAAAACGTGTATGAAATGCGATAAGATCGATTAAAATCGACACCAATTTAATTACAATTAGTTTTGAAGAGCTGGTAAAATGTGTTCGGGTACGTGTTCGATTCGCCTTAATTGACAGTCAATGATTGTTCATTTATTTCGAATGGTTCGTGCTGCTGTTGGTGTTGTTAAAATCGTCGATAGTTCATTAATCGTCATCATTTAAAGAAAATAAATCGACAAATCATTTTATATAACCCAATCGAATGTGATGCAGAGCCATATCGATCGATTTGTCGATTGCCACAAACAAAATGTAAAAACAAAAGGGAAACAAAGCGTAACATCGGCACAACGCATTAGGGAAAAGACAATTGAACGCAACTGTTTCGAGATCAGGTTTGTTGTTGTGCGTTGCTATTGTTCTAATGCACTATGCAGCCGTAACCAAATAATAGGGTGTTAAGGTGTAATCTTTTGTGTAAACTTCGGAATTGAAAACGGAATGAACGAACGATGATCGATGCAAATGAAGAACAGAGAGAAGGAGCGAGAAAGAGAGAGAGATAAGAAGAAATGGTTCGAAGTCAACGATGTAAGAAGAATCCCATTATTCACAGGCTGAATCATTCGATTATCACATATGGATATATGTTTTGGCTGTGCAATGATTTGGTGCGATCGATCGTGTTAGGTAAAAACGTAAAATCGGTGTAAACGATTTATTGTGCCCATGTCTTTTCAACATGACTAAGCATTTTGTGTGAGTTGCTGTTGCTGTTGACGATGTGTATCTTGGACGACCTTAGGATAAATTGCATGATATTGATTTTGTTTTTCTGTATCTTCCTTTAAACGGATACAAACCAAGAACGACGTTCGTTTTTTTCTCCCACAAATTCTTCTACTTTCGCAGTTGTAGAGCATTTTGTCAAAGGTTTTTTTTTCATTATTTCATCTTCACCTTACGTTTCGAGCAAAAAAAAGGAGTCAACTCTTCTTTATTGCTTGTCTTTCGCTTTTGTTCGTTGTTGAATTTAACACGATCTTCTGTTACTTTCGATCGATTTTCGCAATCTAATATGGGTCAATTTACATTGAAACCATCATCGCCATTCACGACCATCCATGGAATACATTGGGACGAATTGCCTTTACGAAACTCTTTTCATTCTTCGAAAGACAGTGGATAAAAAAACATAGCTGTGAAAAAACGAGCGTATACGCTTGCAGCTTCTTCCAAGAATCTTGAACTTTTTGTTTGATGCGTAAAAACTTGAATTTCTTTTCTTTCGGTTGCTTACAGTAGTAGCTCCATTTGTATAAAACAGTTGAGCTAATTTGAATTATTCTTAAGTCTATCTAAATCGATCATATATCATTCGATACATCTGGATTACTCATACAATTAAACGCATATTTATCTCGGCCAATTATGGCTTGGTATTTTCCGATTAATTATCGGCGATTATTAGAAGTCATATCGCAATCGAAATACACATCAGCCAATGATGGACATTTGGAAACAACAAATCAACGAAAGATCAAATCAATAAATGAAATGAGAGCACCTTTAATCAAAACGAACGAATCATCGTGAATGAAAGTCATTCTTTTGATTTGACACGTTCCTATTATGGTTTGGTGCTGTTATTACATCATCAGCTGCAGCTGAATGAGGCAATATGATTATTCTTTAAGTCTTTTCTGAGAACATTTTCATACACTTCTCCATTTTTGTAATAAATGTCAACAAACAATTCTAGAGGATTTGAAAAATGTCGATTCGATTTTTTTTTATTTATTTATTTAATTACTTCCTGGTTGCTATTGGTAAATACAATTATTCTTATTTCTATTTAACTTAAATTACTGTTTCATGACCACATTACTGAGATTCTGATGTTTGTTATCACATAAGAGTCATCTGTGCTCTTGTACAAATTACCAGTCCATATATGTACATTTTCAGGACCAAATATCGAATTCAATAATATGTTATTCAAGCCATAAATTTGGTAATTTGATGATTCAATATCAAAAACATTGGAATTTTTAATTAACAACCGTTTGAATGAAGATAAAAAAAAAACTCAACACTAGGGGCGAGGCACAAATTCTAGTAGAGTCTAGTTACATTCAATTTTATATATTTTCGTTTTATGTCCTCTAATTTTTCTAGTTTTGGTGCAAAAGTGCTATTATTGTGCTATTATTTCTATTAAAATCGGTTGCAGAGCGTATTACACTGTCAATACAACGCTTATGGAAGACCTAATGGGATTATTTTGTAAACAATAAACAATACGTCCATAAGCGTTAACATTGGCAAACCAAACTCACTAATTTCTTCTATTTTTCCTATTATCGTTGAATAATGTTCTAATTTTACACATTTAAATTTCGTGTCTCCCCCCTAGTCTCAACATCAGTATTAAAGCGAAGTGCTAGCTAGGCAAATCGACCATTTTTCCGTTGATATTTCTAAAGAAGAAAAACGGTATGTTATTATGTTTTCAAACATTTTCTCAGTTTATTAATTGAATTCTTCTGAAGTAGGAATATTCAAATTACTTTTTTTTTTATATATATATTTATGAAATGACCACATTGAACTCTGTCTTCATCTTTGCCGATATTCCAAATGAAAAACGTTGACCGCACAAAGAAAGTGTATAATTATTGGTAAATGTTTAGAATGAATCAATTACCTTATCCATTTTTAATGAAATTGCTATGACTGTTCATTCCACAAAATGATTACTTCAAACGCAAACGGTCCCTTCTTCAAATAATTGCCACCGTTTTGGATCAATTACATATTTAAAAATTCTATTAATAATAACAATCGACTAATTTTCGTTCTTTTTTTTCATATTTCGTTTGATTTTCAAATTCGTTTCCATTAAATTCATTTATGTAACATGGCTACATGGAATGGCTTTTTTATCCAATATAATTAAGAGCTTGGATCTAAAGACCGATGGTATTATTTAATTTATATATATATATTTTTTTTTTTTCGTGAACGTGATCATTTAACCATTATCATTCATATTCAATTCATGCTTTGTTTATCCAATTTCACTTTTTTCCATCGAACATTGGACAACGCATAAAATATTCATGAATCGTCTCCTCTTCTTTAATCCTTTTATCAGAATCAAACGCAATCTTAAATCATTTAGAGAATTCGGTTGGAAAGAAGAGAACTGAAGACGAAAACTTGTTGTCGATGAAATGACGATTGGGCGATTGATTTAAGGGCCCAATAATCTTCGATTTTCGGGACAATTATGCCATGAATATTTCAAACCGTATTAATGTGGCTCAGTGAATCAAAGATCATAAGCAGATTTATTTAGTACAGTGAAACGATTACAGCTTGCCTTTATTCAAGACGTTTTTTCGGTAGCCACTTTTTTTTGCAGTGTGGTCGTTTTGTTTATTTATTGTTATTTGAAAGAAAAAACTGACGGCTATAGCACGAATATACACGTCATGTATACGTGAACTCTCTCGAATTGTAATTTGCAATGCGATGACATGTCATCGACGGCTGGGCACATTTCGGCTCATATTTACCATTCCATATTTTATCTTGAGACCTCCATAGTATTTTGCATAGAGATTCGCATCGAAAAGTAAGAATTCGCAAGACATAAATACCCTTAACAAACTGTCCTCAAATCAATATTAACCATTTAATGGCACAATAAATATACAAAGGGATTAATATTCAAAATCACGTGAAAAAATGTTTTCGAAAGCAAAATAGGAGCTACCGCAAAACATAACTAGATACGGTCAGTTAAAAGGAGCCTGATGTGGCCATAAATACATGAGAATATATCCGTATACAAAGAAAACTCTTTGATCATAAGTCAAACATTTTATGAGCACTTACCAATTAGTGTATTTCCTTGTATACTTACAAAAATCGTCGAAATGTTATTTACGTCTGCCGAATAATCAGAGTGGAGAAATGAAACACATTATTTATTATTTATTGTTTATTTTAGTGTGTTTATTCAAATTCTCTATGTTGGTAATGTATTTTTTTCTCCAATTCATGGTTGATACCATAAACTTATTTGAAAAGTAGTGATGATAACACGACAAATGCACATGAATTCATAAACTCAATGCCCATCGATGTGAAAAAAAAATTATGGAAACCATCGAAAATAAATAACATTTGGAAAATGACATGGCCACTACCATAGTAATATTTCTCGACTTTAGAGTGCCTGTGAAACGTTAGATGTAGACGTAATGTTGAATAAATTGAAAAACTTTATTGGAGTTAAATAATGATAAACTTATACTAAATATAGAAAAATCAAAATTGATGCTACTAAGTAACACACAAATTGATAATAGCCCAGTATTGGAAATAAAAATTGGGCAGGAGACATTCGAAAGAGTAAAAGAGATTGAAAATACAATTTTCTACCAATAGAAATAAAACAAGGAAATAGACTGAATATATTTAAAAGAAAATTCCGATATATTATTAAAAGTGGTCATGAAAGCGATAGCAATGTACATATTTGTAAAATTGTAAGCAACAAAAGAGCGAAAGCTAAATAAATAAACTGGAAAAATATACTCACTTATATTTTCTTTCATTTGAAAAAAAGTATTGATCATGTCGTCTAATTTCCACTTTTGTTTTCTTTTCGTCAATTCCCATTTAATTTTTGACCAAAGTCAACAGCTAGAGGGTAGGAACACAAGCGCTTGAGACGAATTCGTACGAATATTCGTGAATTCTTCTGATTGTGTATACGAGACATTCGCAACGCAGTGAGTGTATAACAACAATAACAAAGCCACGAACGCATGAATATATGCGAATACATACGAATGACACAACTTTTTCCTAGCCCATAGGTCAGCAGCAGTTGTAATACAAATTGAAATTTTATAGTTATCCATCAGTATCGTAAGCAGCATCTGAAATATGAGTATTTACCAAATTGGCTGTGGCTGCCCCAATTTCCGTTATCTTTGTAATGGGTGACGCATAAATGAATCAAATAAAATTTGGTGATTGTTTTCTTCTTGTTCTTGTGATATGCTTAGCACAACAGAAAACACTACATACTTTATTGCGTTTAAATTGTAACTTTAGACATATTCATTCGAAGCAGCAATAAATAACCTCGGGCGGCGAGTCATCGATAAACAAATCCAAATTTTCAACGTTTTCTTCCAATGAATTCAATCCATTGTAAACAATATCAGCACCAATCAAAAATCGCCGTTTTATTTGGATTTCAATTCCCAGTTATGATGAATATAGCTAACACATAAACTTTAAACAAAGCGTTTTAACAAGAAAGCAAGTTATTCGATATCCATTATGTCCAGACCGATGAATCATGTTTCAGTGAATTGCAATTTGCCAAAATAAATGCACAGATCACGTGATAAAGTAAGTATTATTATAACGCAATATAGAGTGAGGAAGCTGATACGAGCTTAACTCAAACTGTATGCATTCAGAATGATGTGTTGGTATTCAGTTGACGAAATTTACGCTAAAATACATCAAAACAGCACTAAACTATGAGAACCATTCATACATTAACCAAAAAGGAATAATTCATTTCGAATTTCATGATTGAATTTTATCATCGTCTTTATTTCATTAGCTGTAACTATTATTTTTTTTTTTACAAATTCAAAGATCCCTATTGGAATTTGCTAAAACGAATTTAAATGTATAATCCTTAAATGTAAATAGTTCTTGAATTGTGTATTATATTGATAAATATCTTTGAAAAAGAAACAATTATTTGCACTGTGTGTAACTTAAAAAGTAAATCATCGAAAACGCATCGTATTCTCCATTCATGTACACTATATAGTCTACGTAATGTGTTTTTCTTCTTGTTGTTATTATAATTATTAAGATTGTGGAATCAGGAGGGGAGAGAAAATGTATTGAAAATTTGTTTTGTTGTGCTGCATTTTGTTTTCATTGACTGCGTTTCTCCGTAGTCTTCAGTATTTTGTCATCGTTTTTTTGTCTTGTTTTATTTTTTATACATATAACAGCATAAATTGTAATATTCGGTGAATGCCACTGAAAAAAATATTCATACTTATTTAGTGCGTGAGACGCATGGTCACTCATTTAGTGAAAGAGACGCACGCGGATGAGACAAAACAAAGCGAAAGAGAAGCGGGGCAACTCCATACGAACGAACGATATAGCGCGCATACATTTCGTCACTCCGTCGTTAGAATACGAACACAAACACAAGCACATAGTACCCATTGACTCTATGTTCTAGTTGCGCGCTTCCCTTTCGCTTTGCTTCATCTCATCCGCATGCGTCTCACTCACTAAATGAGTGACCATGCGTCTCACGCACTATATAAGTATGAATATTTTTTCAGTGGCATTCACCGAATATTACAATGTATGTATAACAGTCGATAAGGTGCATTGGTAATCGAAATGTAATAGACAATTGAAAAGGTTGTTTTTTTTTTCACTTTTTTTAAGTACCTAATACCATTTAATAATTTAAACGTAAACGATATTTTATTCGCTACTGATTTTGTTTTGTTTTTTTTTTTCTTTCTTTTATTTAATTAATACTGTCACTTCTATTGCAATTTCACCTAATCGAGCTAATAATTCTACTTAAATACGCAATTCTAAGATCATTAACACTGAAAATTTGTTTGTTTAACTTGAAGAGATTTTTTTTTTGTGTTGCTTTCGATAAAATGAACTATATAATTATGGAGAGAGAGAGAGAGAGAGTAGCAATTGTTTGGAATGAATTTTGAGCGTGTCAATTTGGTCGAATGTTTCAATGCAAATGTTGTTTCGATTTTGACGAGAAAAAAATTAACGCGACTAATTTGAATGCACGCACATTTTTTGTGGGGAATTCTCACAGCATTTTCAATACAACCAGATTTGAACAACACATCCTTTGATGCGGCATTTAATATTACTAATGTTACATTAGCGCTCAATTTGAATGAAATATGTGATGTAAAGTCGATCGGAACTGGTGTTAAAATCATTTTAACACTTTAAAACAATTTTTCAATCATCGCTGGAATTTTCTTAACATCAATCGATTCAAAATTTCCATGCATTTTTTCTGGTTTGTGCATTCAAGAAAAGCGCGCGACACAAATGAGTTTCATGACAATGTCACGTTAATCAATTATTAAATGGTCTGATGATTCTGTCAAAATAACAGCAAACTACATGAAAAATAGTGCTTTGAGTTGGGATGATTGGATGGTTCATTTCATTTCCCCCAAACGAATTACGATATTAAAGTCGTATTGTTTTTTTTTTTTGTTTGTTTGTCTGCAACGTTTCAAGCTTCTAAGCTTTGATCTTCTCAGATTTGTACAAAGACATTTAGTTAATTAAAAATTTAATTCTCACCACCGGCAACTGAGATCTTATTCGAAATGATGTCGTTGTTGTTGTTGCTATTGCTGTTGGTTTTGCTGCTGCTGCTACGTGGATTATAGTTGGAATCGTTGTCGGATTCATCGTCGTGAACATTGATTTCTTCATCGGATTCATCGCTCATGATGTGAGGCGAACGATTGTACGGTCTGGTTAGACCCAATTGCGCCGATGCGGCCAATAGAGCGGCGGTCGAAGCTGAAGGTACAAGCGATCGGAATGCACTATGTTCGCCTCCCATTAATAATGGAGCTGATGCTGTGACTGATCCTGTTACATTTAGTTGATTTGCTGTGTGATGCGATGCCTGATGTGGATTGTTGCTGTTTTTTTTTCGGATTTTAAATTGAGAAACAACAAAATATTTGTTATTAAAATGGTGTATGCTTACAATTTTTCGCCATGTTTAAAGTAAACGCTAGAAATAAAACATGATTCAGACACGGGATTTTGGATAGAAGAAGAAATTGGTGTCATCGTTTGATCATCTTACCTGGAGCATTTTGAGTTCGGCTGTTGCTGCGATGCTGCTGGCGGTTGTTGTACATAGGCTTCGGGACGTCCCCTCTGTAGGTCGGGAGATGTAGGGGTGTAACTTGAAGTGCTTCGTTGTGTTGGCGACGAACGTTGCTTGAGCATGTTCATGCGTTGATGTCGTCGCCATTTTGCCCTCCTATTGGAAAACCAAACCTAGTAGTCAATGTGAGATGTTAGTTTGAAAAGTAAGAAGACGTTCCATTTTAAGGAGTGTGAATGGTTTCATCTAAATGTCAGTCGTTGGTCGTTTTCTTCTCTTTTTTTACTCGTCTGTTTGTTCGGTCATTTTGTAGAACGTTTGAAAGTACGGCGACAATTCATTCTTGTTTCATTTCATTTCATTTTGTTTGTTGGTTTTCATTTCATTCTTTTGTGTGTGTGTGTGTGTGTGTGTGGGTGTTTGTGTCGTTATTTGGATTCTAATGGTCAATGTCATTAGTTTTTCTGTGCTCCTTAAAGGAATTCTTGTAAAGATTCTCACCTGGACTCGAGCTTCGCTTAACGATGTCCGTGATGCTAAGCGCTCTCTCGTGCTTACGCATGGATAGTGCGATTTATCAAACTCTTTTTCCAGCTCTTCCAATTGCTCGGGGCTGAATGTTGTACGATTTCGTCGGAATTTCGGCTGCTCACCATCCAAACTTCCCGAGTCTTCACCTTCAACATCTAAAATTGAAAAATCAACATTGGTTCGGTTACAAAACTGAGATTTTTTTGGCTTTTAAATGACCTTAAGTTGAATTAAGTAAGCATTGAGCTTAAAAGACCATTCAAGAAATAATCACTAATCAATTCAATTATACTTTAAATTAATTTAATCAATAATTAATAGCAAAAACTTTTTTTTTTGTAAAATTAAAATCGATTTTTTTTTTAAATAATATTTTTTCAATTTTCTGATGATATTTTCGGTTCCAAATTGTTGTCCAAATTTTTTTCAAACCTAATTCATAAGAAACTCACCGATAAGTCGATTTCCATCGGGTGATCCAAGAGTATCATGGCTTCCCGAACCCGGTGAGCATGCAGTGCCGGATGTTGTTGCTGAACCAGGTGAAATGCCTGGAAAACCGCTGCCTGCCGACCATAAATGTGCCGTTGCCGGCCAAGCAAAACTACTATAAGGATTTGGTGGGTAAAGTCCATAGCCAGCGGCTCGTGCAAATTCGGCCGCTGCACGTTCGGCGGCTCGATTTCTCAGGATGCGATTTATTGAGGATACCGATGGTGCTGTTGCATTTGTACAAACGCCTGTTAAAATTTTTATGCAGAAACAAAAAAAAAACATTTTGAGAAAAAATTGATATTATTAACAAAAGTTGCAGTATTGAAAATTAAAATGTACACCTAATATTCCGTAATGTATTCAAATTGGCGCCGCTTAACGAAATCTCAAATCGAAAACAATTGCAATTAATGAATTTCAGTTGTTTGTTTGTTTTTCTCTATCGGAAATGCATTTCCATCGATTACAATCGATTAGATGGCAACGAATGAAAAGGCCTATTCACGTAATAGAAATGATGTGAAAAGCAACACCGCATCTATAAAGTATTGCCGCTGAAATTTGCATTTGCATTTGGAATATGTTAAGTATGTGAGAATCGAGTGAGCGAGCGAACGAAAGCGATAGACAGAGAGTTAGAATGAGAATGAGAGCGAGATAGAAAATTTTGTATTCTGTTAATATTCCAAAAGATACTTATCGAAAATGTGGCCAATTACAAGTAGATATGGTTGTGCTTTTGTGTTCTGAGTTCTCAGTTCTAAATTTCGAATGAGTTGTATGCGTGTTGTTTCATTCATTCAATCAAATGCGAGGAGAAAAAAAAAACGCTCAGATAAAGAACAAATCGAAGTTTTGATCGCCAGTTTCTGTGAATGAATGAGTCTGACAGTGTTTTTTTTTTTCGTTCGTTCATTTGTTTGTTTGTTGTTATCTTGGGCTCATTTGTTCGCTTTGCTAGAGGTCAACCAAGAGTATATACACATACATATCTACTTGAAAACAAAACGATGACGAAAACCACACAGAATACAAGTATGTCGATTGAAGCGCAAGCGTGTGTGCACGCGGGCAAAAAAAAAATCCAAAGCTTTTAACACAAACCATCCGGCGATAAACAGAGCACATACATATGCGGAGCGCGCACAAAAAAATGTTTTGGAAAATGCCGTTTCGAGCGCGAATGCATATGTATTTGCCCATTTGTAAAGTGCTTTTTTTCACTCATTTAGCCGTACCGGGCGAATGCGAGTGTGTTTGTGTGCGCATTCGTATACAAAGCTTACTTGCAATCCAACTCAAATCACTGATGTTGATAATGAAAATGCATTTATTAGTCGAGGTGAATTTTGTGATCTTGTCCTCCGACTCCCAGCAACAACAACAGCAGCAAAACAGTATGCAGCGATCGAAATCTCGGCGCAAACGAGCTAATGTGAGCGAGCAAGCGAGTGAGAGACAAACAAAATTATCTGCGGATGCATACAGATTGATATATATGCAATAAACGTTAAACAAGTTGACTGATTGATTGATTTATGTAATGTGTGTAGTATTGTGATTGGCAAAGCTCTCTGTTGTTGTTGTTGTTGTTGTCGCCCGTCGCCGTTCTCATTGTCTATACAAAACCTTTCTTGTTCCGTATGATCCGCGCATGTAGCGACCATTCAGCGCTACTGTGGTTCTTTTTTCTCTTGAACTTCTTCGGTAGTTCGAGTGAGCATGTTTCTTGTTGTTTTGAGTGGAAACATACAAAAATAGTGCATGCAGTCAAACGAATTTATCAACGAAGTACATAATTCTTGATGTTTTTTTTGTGTGTTTGTGTGTTCGTTGTATTGTTGTCATTCGGTTTGTCTTTTCATTTGCATGCGATTCGATTTCATTCACGACTTCAGTGTGGTTTCGTTGTATGCGAATAACGGGCGATGTAAGCGCCGATTCCAATTCATTCAATCGAAACGATTCCCTCGGCCTTAGTCTCTTTCTCTCTCTCTCTCTCTCTCTCTCCCTGTCTCTCTCTCTCTCTCTGTCGCTATTCCATGCCTATTTTGGCTTGGTTTAGTGCAAACGCGCGTAAATTGTTATATACACTCAGTCGATCCCCCTCACACACACATCTAGTAAACGAATGAACAAAAGACAATTCGATTGGGTTTCGCGACAAATCGTATGCAAAACTATGCACAGATCGCTGTAGGTATTAGATGTTCATATTAGCGATGTTTTAATGGTGTACACTGCGCGAGAGAGTATTTTATCAATATATTAATATCTTGCGAACATTTTTTTCCCTTCCTTAGCTCGTGTGCACAACGGCTCTTGTGTGTTTGCTCTCAGTTGTTGCTGCTTCATGTTTTGTTGTATACACACACACACTTATGTATACGTATTCGTATCTTTGGCATTGCAATCGACTCAATCGCTTGAAGAGCTTGCCACAACGCATTCAAACTCTTGTGAATGGTTTTCCCATTGATTTCATTTGCATGCGCGTATTTACTTACATTCAGTATGTCTCTCGGTTCTTTTTTTTTCCTTTCGTCGTCGTCGTTGTTGTTGTTGTTGTGTCTCTCGTTTTGTGTTTACACAAAATACACTCTTGCACACACAAAACATTTTGTCTTTATTATTGTTTGCTCGTTACAAGTTTATTACTCGGAATAATTTCGACGTTAAGCGCCAATTCAATACCGAAAAATTCATTCATTCATTTGCGAATCGGTTGGCGTCTCTCTCAATTCTCTACCTCTCTCTTCTATTTGACTTTGACTCAATGGCTTTGTTTTTTGTAGCTGCTCATCAAGCCGCCCAAATGAATATCTAATTACTTTAAATTGACTACATTTTAACTGTCTCGCTCAAATGTGACTGTTTTCTTTTTTCTCTGTTAAGAATCGGAAATTGTGCCGCAAGTCAAATGAATGGCATGAGCACACCGAATTATTCACCGTCGTGAATAAAACCGCATACATTTTTTTTTCAGAAGCAGAAAAAAAACAAACACAATCAACGACGAAAAAAGAGGAGAAAAAAAAACACAGAATGAATTTCGGGGTACAGACAAAGCTGAGCTACTGTGTGTTCGTTCATTCGACTTACCTTCGGAAATGAGCCGTTCTCGGATTTCCCACGCAAATATCGTCGGGTTCTCCCGTTTATACTGTTCGATTTTCGATACAACGGCCGGCGTTGCAACTTTTGGTTTAGAACCACCAATCAAACCGGGTGGACGAAGCGTACCTGCAAAACACAAACGAGAACGAAAAAAAAAAAATAACCAGTCAGTAATTGTAAGTGTGTCTTTTTTTACGTAACTCAACTAAAATGCAAGAATATGAAAAAGAAATAACGAGCATAAATCCAAATGAAAATGAAGTCACCGTTTTATTTTTTTTTCTTTTCACTCTTCAAAAAGTGATTAAGACGGTGTGAACAGCATGAGGCAAATACACTGGAAAAACTGTGTGCATTCAGATTATTGTGAGTGCATTTGTCCATCGGGGCCAAATAAATCGTATGTACGAACTCGAAAAAGAAGAAGAAGAAGAAGAAGAAGCAGCAGCAGCAGAAAAAAGCGCAGCGAACTGGTTATGTTGCATTTAGTGTGTGTGTGTGTGTGTGGTGATTCCAGCATTTTGAAATGCGAAATTCATAGTACTTAATGGTGGATCGCGTTGTGGTCATGTCAAAGACACATGATTAATCGCGCACACACAAAATGCCCATGAACGCGAGAAGCCAAAACGTCGATATGACAACAACAACAGCAACAATGACAACCGACATAACCGAATTTAATACGTTCAATGAAATTTGAACGCATATTTTCGAACACCTCGAGAGACCTAAAGTTCGGCTAATGCTCCGGCTGTAATTTGTTCACTGTGAATTCTTTCGTACAATTCTATTACGAGTTATTTTTTGGACGAAACGAAACGAAAGAAGACAATTCGGTGTTCGAGCGCATTAGGTGGACATGGGGCAATATAAGAACGATGTGTTGGCTCGCCGAGAATGCAATCAGAGTGTATAATTGCAGTGTGGTTGACAAGAGAGAGAGAGAGAGAGAGAGAGAGAGAGAGAGAGAGAGAGAGAGAGA